TTTCTTGGAAAAATTCCTTATTCCCAGTGTGGTCTAACCTTTGTGTTTTCAGATGAGAATTGAAAATATTCTAATTTGATAAGTAATATCTTTCTTTGATTAAGTTGATTTCGCAGGAACGAGGTTGAATGATACAACAAAAGCAAGCAACGATTTGATAACAATTTGAAAGTTGATTGAAAATGTTCAACATAAAATCGACCGACTATGATCTCTAGTTAGTATATTTAAGTTACTTGCTCTCAACTCTGCTTCAGATCTATGTAGTCAATTAAAATCCTATGAAAACATGCACAATCTCTTTAACTATCAACAGCTAAAAATCAAATTATAGTACGATAAGTAAACGCTTATTCGTCCACCTATTTGTCACGAAATTAATTATAGAAGAAAAGTCGTTAGCAAATGATCGGTAAAGCTTTGCATGAAAATATTAATTTGATCCTAAAACTGGCCGATTCTTATTGCAACAACTCCTTGGCAATAGTAAGTTATCGTTTTGGTGCACATCTTTCCCACCAAAGGGTATGAAGAATTTTTTCCAGGAATCAATAATCGAATTTCTCATTAAATATGAGATGATAGTGAATATAATCTTCACATCCTTCTCATGAAATTTACAAATAACAGACTTATCGTAGATCTAGATCTAACTTATCTTTTCACCGTGATTTCAATATTTATTGTTTGCAATAATTTTATTCATTGGTGACTCAGGTTGGACAATCGATACAATACAAGTGCATGTACTGTACAGAGTGAATGTGTCATGAAATGAAGTATAAAAAGCGATGAAATTAAACACATTAGCATCAGTTAATCAACAAGTTTCACTAACAAACATTCAGTCAATTTTTCTCTGCAAAAACTATTATAATATGAAAATGATCGCCACTCTCTTCATTGTCTTTGCTGTTGCTTCTTCAACTCTTGCTCAATGCCCAGTTCCTCCAACTGTCCCTGTCTCTGATGTTGCCAAAGTACGTTTATAATTATTTAATAAATTTAGCCAATACTTTAAACTGCATCCATTAATTTGGTGTTTCATTGTTTAGATTGCCGGCCGATGGTATCAAATTGCTGGACCAACTTTTTCTGGAACCGAAAATCAACCAAAATGTGTTACCGCGGATTTCACTCCAAAAAAGGATGGAAACTTTAATCTTACAATGAATGCAACTGATCCAGAGTAAGTAGACACAATCAATTGAGTTTAATTGTTTGTAATGCAAATTATTAATCCATCGTCTAGTGGCTCAAAGAATTATGGTGTTGGTTTAGTCGAACGTACTGATAATCAGAATTTACTCAAGCTTCACACATCACCATCCAGTAAGTAGTTTTGTCTGCTTTACTTTTCATCATTTGTATCATACATTCGTTAATTTAACAATAGATGCAAATACGAAAATTATTTTCATTGCAATCAATAATTATTTTGATTAATATTTTCATATTTACAGCTACGTCATCTTCAATTAACGTCTATTTGGTCGATACTGATTTCGATAATTATCTAGCTGCTTATATTTGCCTCCTTGATTCTTCGCAATCTCCAGTTCGTAAGTATCTTTCAATTTGATAAACTCAATGTCTCTTTATGCAAATCAATTTGACTAATGATAACTCAACTTTCATTATCATCACAGAAACTGGTGTCATCTTATCCAGGGCTAACACCATGGATGCTGAAAAGTATGCTGAACTGACCGATTTGTTGATTAATAAAGCTGGTGTCTCTACCGATTACTTCATAGCAACAAACCAAAAAGACTGCCAATATTGATTGACCAGTTTATTAAAAAATGATGATCAATGCTGATACAAATTTCCAATTTTCAATGTATCCTTAAACTAAACAATTTATACTTTAAATAAATATATATTTCATTGCATAATCAAAGCTAGTGATGTTAGTCTACAATACTAGTCATGTGTTGTCAGCACCAAAATACCATCTTTATTTGTGTAGAAAGTGAAGGGTCAAATAGAGGGGAAAAATAGCCAAATAGGTCAAATCTCATGCGTTTCTTGAGTTTGAACTATCAAAAACTAACAAAGGAGATGAGCGAGGTCATCCGAAATCAAAGATCAACTAACCTATGGGCAGAAAGTTTGAGACAACTTGAACTAATCCAATTAACTCGGGAATGGGATTAGCTACAAGAATGAAATTTCGCAGGAAACAAGATTAGGGTTCAACAGATGTTCAGTGTGAATTTCAGAAACATAGCACATTCAGATCACTTTCATATCGACATGGCATCTATTAAATGAAAGCCTATTAATTGTTCTATTTGTCGATAATTTGATTATAAAAGTCGGTTAACTTATCAAAAAGATATGATTGTTTAAACATTTTGTCTCAAACTTTTTGCCCATAGGTTATATTTCATTTTTTACATTTGAAGCATTGTAATGAGACACAAAACAAAATAAGTGGAGCAAAAGGTCCAGCGGGATGGGTTGATATTTTTCCTTGCACATTGATCTTCACATACCAATCAAAAATAAATGTCGCTTTTCAAACCTTTGTCCATTTGCTAATCAAAAGACGACGAACTATCTTGTTTGTTAGTAAGAAGAATTCAATGACACACTTATCATTGAAATAAGTTCAAATGACCTCGTGTACTTCCCTCGTAAGTTTATTCTCCCATTGTTGCTTTTTTAAACTTTAATTTTTCAAAGGAGTTAACTGAGTTAGTTAATTTATCTGTGTATACAATACGATTATGGTAATGCATAAAGAAATATCATTGAATATGACTTCTTACTGAATACTTTTTGCTGCCTTGTTCAAAAGCATCAAACTATTTCAAGAAAGAAATTGTATTAAAAACCAGGAATACATAAATATAATAACTTTTCAAAGGAATTTTATTTAAGAATTAAGATGATAATGTCATGCTTATCGTCCATCTTATGGTGAATGAACATATAAAACAGATAAAATCATAGTTTAGTTAATATTTTCTTTAAGTCAATACAGCAAAGTCATTGGCGCCAGTCTTGTTTTTATATCTCTCATCAATCCAAATAGATGAGATTGATTTACTAAGTTATCGTTTAAGCGAGCTCTAAGCGATGCTGCCTCTGAACCAGTAAGACAATGAGCAGCGATAGCGACATATTGATCATCAATCAATGTAGCACCGCAAAATTTTATATTTTTATTTCTTATTCGAACGAAAAGAATCATGATGAAATTGAGTAAAAAAAGCATGATATAAAGGGTGTCTTAATTCCAAGCAAACTGGTGGAGCTTACTATCTTTCTATCACGAATTAAAATAGATAAGCACAGATATCATAAACCATAGACACAAACCATTTGGTCACTTTATTTTCCGTCTTCACATTTGTTGCTTTTTGTTTTAGATATCTGTGCTTATCTATTTTAATTTGTGATAAAAAGATTGTAAGCTCCACCAGTTTGCTTGGAATTAAATTTGACACCTTTAGCATCTTAATTGTTGAATAAAATTCATTTGCAAAGGTTAATTATGTATTTCTAGTTTTTAATAACATATCTTGCTTGTAAAAGTTCTGGTGCTTTTGAACAAGGCAGCAAAAAGTATTCAGTAAGAAGTCATATTCAATGATATTTTGTTTAACCATTATCATAATCGTATCTAATACAATGATCAATTACCGTATATTGCTTATAAAAAAGCACGCCATCATATAAGCGCCTTTTGAGCCAATCTAAATGCGCGAAAATCATTGCTTATTATTATTGAGAAGCGCTTCTATTGTCACAAAATTGTGCCTTAAACAGTGGCAAGTTCATTTCAAAGCACTATGCAGTAACTAACCAACTCGAGTTAATTTCTTTGAAAAAATAAAGTTGAAAAAAGTTACAATAAACATGCAAGGGAGGTACACGAGGTCATTCGAACCGATTTCAGTGATTAGTATGGTATTGAATTCTTCTTACTAACAAACAATATAGTTCGTCGTCTTTTGATTAGCAAACGGACAAAGATTCGAGAACGCCATTTATTGTCGATCGGTATTTATAGATCAATGTGAAAGCAATAATATCTACTATCTAGTACATATCCATCCCGCTGAACCTTTTGCTTCCCTTATTTTGTTTTGTGTGCTTGTTACAATACTTTACATGTAAGAAATTGAAATTCTGGTTCATCAATTTAATTTGCTATTAGGGTGTCAAACAAGTTTTGCGGTTGGATATGAAGTTTAGCTCAGAATTGGATGCAATTTCATAAAATCAAATTATGGACCTTCTGTATTAATATATCGTTTCAATTTTCCACATCGAATAATTGAAATCGTTTTTGTTAGCGTCCGAAAATTTATAACGAAAAAATCGACAAAAGTGATTTTGATCTCCGTTCCTGAGTGGAAATTCTCCTCTTTGAATGAATTTTCAAAAAATTAAGATAGATTGAGGTCCATAGAGATGATAGCAGGTTCTTAGGATAGATTCGCAAGTATTCAGAATCTGCGGTTAGAAATTTTGTGACGCGTTACTAGAAAATTTGGTGAAAAAAGTTAATGAAAAAAATTTTGGTCAATTTTTGTGCCCTTTAAAAAACTAAAAATGCAATAATTTTGTAAATATTTGTCCGATTCTGATTTGTTTTCTTTTATACTGCTTAATTAAAGATAAGTAATGTTTAAACTTAAAACGATCACAATCAAATCTTTTTTCATAACGAACCGCAAAATTTATTTGACACCCTAATACTTGAAAGATTTCGAGACAATTAAACACTTATAAAACCTAATTGTTTTAAGATAAAAATATTGCTTTTATTCGGATGACTTCGGGTACTTCCTTCGTTAGTTTTTAAAAGTTAAAACTTAAAAGTCACGTAAGATTTCGCGTTCAGTCTGATTAACAAATTAATAGAAGTCCTTAAAACAAAATTCCTTCATTTTTCTTCTTGATTCGTATTATAGCCGTTACGTCGCTTAACTCTGAACGATCGGAATTGGATGAGATTAGAAGAAAAGATGGTAATGCAGAAATGAAGATATGGATGCAATTATTTATTCAAAAAGAAATCAATAGAGATTTAGAAACTTATGTTACACACGCTTTGGAAAGGGTTGATTTCAATGACTGAACTTATTGACTGAAGTCATTGGTGTCTCTCCAACAACTTTTTGGAGCCAACTCTCGCATCTTTTCATTGTATTGACTGACATCAGTGAATAGATCTGGCATTCCAACGGGAAAACTACGAGAAGTAACTCCGGTAAGGTAATATCTCGCATTCATTTCATTAGCCATGTATGGACCTTCAGGACTCTCATTATCCACTTTATTATAATTCATAACACAGAGGTGAGTTTTGGTAGCAGGAGAAGGACACTTGGAACCTAAATGGAAAATCAAGAATGAATTAAAAAGAATACAATTTCATTTTCAATCAACTTACCAAAGTAGGGACTAGGCAAGCTTTCAAGATGTTCACCAGATTTTGTACCAACAAGGTAAATTGCAGGTACAGGATATAAAGCTGGTTTCCGTAAGCAAATGGGTTTGAATTGAGAGTCAACTGGAGAAGTCAAAGTCAATACAGCAAAATCATAGGCACCAGTCTTCTCGTCATATCGTTCATCAATCCAAATGGATGCGACTGATTTTGTTGAGTTGTCGTTCAAATGAACTCTGAGTGCTGCTGCGTCTGAACCAGAAAGACAGTGAGCAGCAATAGCAACGTGTTGATCATCAATCAATGCAGCACCACAAGATTTCTGATTTTTATTTCTTATTTGAACGAAAAGAATCATGGTAAATTAAGAGAACGAAGTAAAATGATTAAAATATAGATTGTATAATAATACTTACTCAATAGCTACATACCAAGGGAATCGAGTCAACTTGCCTTCTGATTTTACAGGAGCTGTGTAACCAGTAGCCTGACCACAGTCTAAACAAAATCATGAGTTAATTTTCAATGTTATCAGTTGCTTTATTGTTTCACTGACTTACCACAAGCGAAGGACTGGTTGATCAAAAGGACGAAGATGGAAGCAAACAAAGTTAAACTCATTGTAACAGTTGAGTTATTAGGCTTTTATTGATAGTGTTGATAATACTTTAGCTTATGTTAGAGTGATTAAGATTCGTTGGTATTTGATTCTTTTATAGCTAAAATCAATCGGAAACAGATGATTCTTAATTAGGATCCATGTGTTTGCTATGGAAAAAATAATTTAAGGGAATTCCCTTCCTTCTTTAATTTCAATCAAGATTGACAAATTTTGATTACAAATTGTTTTTCGTATTGGTCTTTTCGGATCACTCGTCAAATCAAATCGCGTCATTCTTTAATTTCAATTAAGATTGGCTTTAGATGAACATTCATTACTAATTGAAAGCGTTTTTCGTATTGACTTTTTCAAATCCCTCATATTCAGATGAATGTGCATCATTATTCAGCTGTCAATCTCATCATCATCATAATATTCAAACGAAACAAAACAATGATTCTCTTTATTTTTTAGTTTCAACTGCTGTAAATGAAATAAGTTTATACCATTTGTGAATAAGCTAATTTTGATGTTAGTTAAGAGTTTACATGACTTCAATAGCATGGAATTTGAATTCAATAAAAATAAAGTAGTTGACTCGTTTTTTTGTACTAATCTCATTGTTCAATTAGCACTAATCAATTTTAAGATTTTTTCTCAAAGTTTCGAGCAAATATTTTCAGATCTTGTCCATCAAAGTACTGAAGTGTTTTGCCCCGATCAAAGGCAAGGCCGACAGGAATCTCATCCAATATCGACCGTTCAAAGTTAAGCAACCTAAAAGCTATAATATAAAAGCCAAAGAAGAAAAAGGAAATTCTGTCATCATTCAACAGAAGTAATTAAGAGATGTTATTGTACGAAATCCTAAATTGAGAAAATTTAGTTATTTTCAAATCGACGAAGGTCAGTTTTCGTGACATGTATCCTTTACAGTAATGATAACTTCATTATTATGGTAGCCTTTAAGTTCAATCTGTTTGTTAGTTTTTTTCAACTTTATTTTTTCAGAGAAAGTTTGGAATCAAATAGAGTTAGTTAATTGATCTTGTTAACTTGTCTGATTCGCGTATGATTGTCATAATGCACAGCCTGCAAATGGCTCAACTGTTTAGGAACAATTGCTGGAAGCGAATCAATAATCATTTGATTGACAAATCAGTTGTAAAAAGCCACGAGTCATATCTCGACTCGATGCAAAATCCATACGCTAGCAGATTCGCTTAGCAACATGAAAAATTTAACAATGAACCATCAATCTGGGTAACGAAAAAGCTTCTCCTTCACTCAATATTATGGAATACGGGTTCTCCATTTTTCTCAGCAACTTTTTTCATTAATTTATCAGAGATTTGAATTTTGAAAAGAGATTCTCTATTTTTCGTGGATGCAGTTGGATCAAGTCTTTCATGCTGATCAATAATGATTTGACTGACAAATTCATTAGAGTCTCTTTCTTCTATTTTCACTTAAATTTGTAATCAATCAGAAGTTTTAGTTCACCAAATTATCCATCAGAGTTTTGAATGTGTTGATGAATTCAACAAATATCACGGGTTAATAATAATAAAGTTGATAACTCGATGAAAAACATTAGTTTTTTTACTTTTTTGTAGAATGCCATCTTTACATTTCGTGTTATTTTCAATGTTTTTATTTCAGTTATTAATACAAGCTGAGCCCCCCGATCATGGCTGATCGTAAATTTCTTTTCAATGAATACAATAAATTCAATCCACATTTAAAGACTCGAATGGTTGTTGAAAAATTGTGCATGAGAAAAACTAAAAAAATTTCGTTCATTTTGAAAGTTGTATAGTTTAAGCATCAGATATTTAACTTACTCTTTGCTCGAAAGACAGTTTTCATATACTCCTAACCCAACAATAAACCATCAATCTGAATACAAAAAAAGTTTTTTCCCCAAAGTCAATAGTAAAAGATACGGATTCTGCATTTTTTCCCCCACCCTGTTTAAACGCTAATTTCTCAGTAACCTGAAGTCCGAGAAAGCTCTGACTATTTTGAGTCACTGTAGTTTAACCAGGGCTTTCATTTTATGTAAAAATATTCTTCAGAACCCGTTTAGTTTGGGCACAATCTTCCCGCAAAAATTTCATAGTTTGACTTTATATATTGTATAGATGTATAGATTAAATTTAAAAAGATCCTCTTGATTGGATACTGAATTAAAAGTTTTGTTAGTTGTTCCTTGTGACCGTATAGCTAGACTGTTACCCAGGACGGGAAGAGAACACATTTTCTGTTTATTCACCATAACGTGGCCAAAAGTCATGATATTATAATCTTAATCGTTAAATTAAATTTATTTTGAAAAGTAGATTATTAATATGTATTCTTGGTTTAAATACGATATCTTGCTTGTAATAGTTTGGTGCTTTTGAACAAGCAAAGAGCAAGGCAGCAAAGGAGTTTGAGTTGCGGGTTGGTTCAAATAAAATTGGGATTGTGAGATCAAATTATAATTTAAAAGTGGCCCGATCACTTTCAGTAACAATTGTAACTATTTAAACAATTTTGGCATCTTTTGCCATAGAATAAAATTCGGTTTCTTCATTGGCTAAGAGGCTGCTTGGGGAATCATATTCAATTATATTTCCTTTATCCATCACCATAATTTTATCATAATCCATAATTGTATTTAAACGATGAGCAATTGTCACAATTGTACAATCAGTAAACTCTCTTCTGATCGTTTCTTGAATAAGTTCATCAGTTTCAACGTCAACTGCAGCTGTGGCTTCATCAAGTACGAGAATCTTAGTTTTACGTAAAAGAGCTCTAGTCAAACACACTAATTGCCGTTGACCAACACTTAGATTTTCACCACCTTCAGAAATTTCGTAATCAAGTCCATTCTCGAGATTGTCAACAAATTGTTTAAGATTTGCTTGTTCCAACGCTGTCCAAATTTCTTGGTCTGTATGTTTTTGGAATGGATCAAAATTGTCTCTGAAAGAGGCTGAGAATAAAACAGGATCTTGAGGTATGACGGTTAATCGTGATCGCAAATCGTGTAATCCAAATTGAGTTATATCTTGATCATCAATAATTATCATTCCATTTGCTGGTTCAATTAAACGGAATAATGCAAGTGTAAGAGATGATTTACCAGCTCCAGTTCGACCAACAATTCCAACCTTTTCTCTGGGATGAATTGTGACACCAATATTTTTTAAAACTAAATCAAGTCCTGGTCTATAGCGTGTACTGTAATCTCTGAAAATGATTTCTCCTCTATCAGGCCATTTTTGAGTTGGTCGTTTATTCTCGTTTACCCATGCAGCCTAGTAAAAATAAAATAAATGTTTGTTAATTGAAATTATTTCAGCAAAGAGTTTTACAGTGATTTACCTCTGTTTCAGTTCTTGTGAACTCTAAGCATCTTTCGATGGAAACAATATTAGTTTCAATGTTAGAGATTGACATAATCAAATAACTGAGAAGTGACGTTATTTCAAAAGAATAGCTAATTGATAAACCAGCTTCACCAGCACTCAATGAATCTCGAGTGCTCACAACCAAAATCACAGCTAATGTAACTACTATGTTACCGAGAAACTCAAGTCTAATAGATAGCCAACGACTGGCTCCAATGCTCAAGAAAAATGATCTATTACTGGTATCGACTCGATTGTAGCACTCTTCAATAAACCTGTCAGACGAATTGAAGGCGCGAATAGATGATGCTCCGTTAATAGTTTCGGCAAAGTGTGAATAAATAGGTGATTCGGTAATTGAAGTGATCCGACGTAACTGACGTGATGAGGCAATGTAAATTTTCTATAAAATGAAGAGTAAACAAAAGATCAATTCAAAGCTTGTGTTTGTGTGTGTTTCAAAAATAATTATAAGAAATTCTTAATCAGTCACTAATCTTACCTGAATAAATATGTAGACAAAACCAAGGACGAGTAAGACGATTAATAGATAAACAGACCCGGTAACGATACCAATAATTGCGACAATCAACCTGAAAAACTGTGACAAGAATAATTGAAATTCGTGTCCGATGACACTATCGGCAATATCGATATCCTTGCTGAATCTATTCAGGATTCGTCCTGCAGGTGTTGTATCGAAGAAAGACATTGGTGCACGAATTATACGATTCAACATTTGATTGTGAATAAGTGTTGCACCTTTGAGTACGGCTAAATTACAAATAATTACACTTGCTAAAACAGAAATGGCATTACCGAAACCAAGAGCAGCATAAACACCAAGACGCTTATTTCGCAAAGCTGTATTATTGGATGAACCTGGAATGGATGCATCATCAGCCCAAGCAGATAACCATAAGTTAGTCCCAAAGTCGAGAACAGAAACACATAAGTAGAAAGCAATTGTTCCTAATACAGCCAACCATCCGATTGCGGAAAAGTAATCGAGATAAACTTTCATTTTGATGGAACCTTGTTCAGCTTCTTCTTTTTCAATCAATTTGAACTTTGATTCTTCTGGTTCCTTTTTCAATAATTTTTCTTTTTTTGGAATATGAGATATTGTAGAAGATCGCTTGAATGATGATAATGTTCTTACAAGTTTACTTCCACTTCCAGTCGATCTATTTGAACCCCTTCTTGCAATTTTATCGTCAGCTGATTTATCAATCAATGAAGGTTCCATTAATTCATCATCATCTTCTTCGACCTCACACATATATTGATCTATAAACTCTGCAAATGTTCCTTTTTTGTTCATTAATTCATCAAAACTGCCGTGATCATAAATTTTTCCGTCTTTAAGAACAATAATTTCGTCAACTTGTGGTAAAAAGGTTAGTCTATGAGTTACAAAAACTCGAGTCTTGTTACGAAGAAGTCCGTTTGGCCCAATGACTTTGTCAAAAAGATGAGTTGCTACATGAGAATCAACTGCAGACAATGGATCATCCAAAAGATAAATATCAGTATCTGAATAAACAGCTCTGGCAATGGAAATGCGTTGCTTTTGTCCACCAGAGACATTGATTCCTCTCTCACCAATCTCCGTTTGATCATTACCAGGTAATATTTTAAGGTCAGCAGTTAATGCACAAGCTTCGACTACATTCTCATATTTTTCTTTGTCGTAAGGTTTCCCAAACAGTATATTGTCACGAACTGTTGCGTTTTGGATCCAAGCTGATTGTGGGACGTATGCAATTCGACCATGAACGTTGACATGACCTTCTTTTTTATAAAGCTCACCAAGAAGGGCTGAAAGAACTGAAGATTTACCACTTCCAATAGTACCAACAATTGCCACCAATTTATTACGTTCGATAGACAGATTTAATTTTGAGATTATTGGTTCATCACCATAAGACCAACAGAAGGTAGCATTTTCAACTTTTATCGGAGTTTCATGGGCAGGTTCATGGTCAATTGTATTTGGATCAAGCTCGTCACACTGAAGAAACTCATTTACACGACGAAGTGATGTTACAAACTGGTGAAATGAAAAATGAATAAAGGGAGAATCAGTTAGATTGTGTGTAATTGTATAACAGTTCATTCAACTTTTATGCTATAACATTATTTCATTACACATTGTACTTACATTGGCTCCGTAAGCAATAACCATTGGTAAAAAGGCAAGTGGATCTTGTAATATACCTATCAATGTAATTGACACAAAAGCTTTGTTAGCGTCAAGTATGTTACTTGAACTTAAAAGGGCAAATGTCGCAAAGTTGACTAAATTCATCTGGAAAAATTAAAAGTAAATTAATAATTTATTCTATAACAAATTTAAGATTGTATATTAACTTACCAGAAAAGGAAGACAATCAAAAGCAAAGTAAATTCCAGTTTCCCAGAAAGCGTCAGATCTTTGATATTTAAGTTCTCTTGCTCGAATAGCAGTAACTCTGTCACCAAATGCACCTTCCCAAGCATAAAGCTTCAACACTTTCATTCCATTGAGAATTTCGGACATTAACTTTGATCTTTTATCCTTTTGGGTCAAAATTTTATCTTCTAAAACCTCAAGGCGATGGGCTACATAACCATTGCAAGGTATCAAAATGACAACCACAGCTAAACCAGCAATTGAAGCAACACCAAGTTGCCTCCATAAAAAGAAAATCGCAATGATCAATTGAATTGGTGGAAACCACAGGTAATTCATTATGTTGACATATTCAACAATACGGTCAAGATCGACAGCCATTAAATTAATAATCTCTCCAGTGGTATAAGATTGTCGAGCAGCACTTGACAATCGAAGAGTCTGAAATGTGTTCCAATAAAATATTATTCATTGTATTGATTGAGGTAATTCCACGAGTTGTTAATTTATATTTCACCTTTTGATAAACACTTGCTATCAATGCTGACTTGATTTTCATTGAAGTTGTTTGAATCAAGAATTCATAATGAGCATCAAACATTGAACTTATGAATGTTATTACAAACATCCCAAGTGCAATGAAAACACCATGCCAAGCAGGCTTATCGGTAGCTTTGACAAAAGTTAAAAGATAATCCATAAATAGTGGATTTGAAAATATTAAAACTGATGAAACAAGCTTGAAAAGCCCACTTAAAACAAAGTATGGCCAGAATCCTTTCAACAAAATTTTCAGCAATGACAACTTCATTGTCTTGGTGGTCTTTAGATCCAATTTTTCAACCTGTTCACCATTAGCTTTCGATGCTTTCGAAGAGTCAGTAAAAGTATATTTAGTTCCAGCAGCTATAAGACGATAAAATTCACTATCAATAGGTTTTGATTTATATTCACTTGGTAATGGCCAAATATCCGGTGAAGTTAATGTACGTTTGAAGCCAAGTAAAGCCATAGAGTCGTACCAGCTGAATAAAAGGTAACTCAGAAATGAGGCTGACTCGTAAGGAGATTCAATCTGAAATGGAAAATAAATATAAAGATTACACCACTAATAACACGTGTAAAGATGAAGATTCAAGTCAATACCTGGATTGTCTGCTTATCAGTGCTATTTAACGTTTTTCTTGTATCAACAAAACAATTGAAGACCAGCAGGATCCAAATTAGACTCAATTGTATCGTCCTTATGGTAAAATCTTCAGCGTCAACATGCCAACGTTTAAGATTCTATTTAAATGATAATGGCTAGTTGCAAGATTAATAATGTTAGTCAAACTGATAAATCTTACTCTATTATTATTTGCATCAATCAAGGACCAATAATTGATAGACATCGTCAAAGCCATTAGGAGCCAATACACGAATAATAAACCAGACGAATGGATTCCTTTACGTTGATACACAACTAGTAAAACAGTTGTCATGCACTGTAAATTAAAAGAATAAAAAGAAATTAATAAACTGAAAATTTTTAAATGATAAAATACTTACAAAGGAAATCAATCGAATAGCTGCAGATACTTTTTGATATGGGTAAATATCAAAGCCATTGGAGCTTCTAATGTTCACACTAATCAACTCATAAAGAGTTAAAACACAAAGTGCTAAGCTTGCAGTCTATTCCAATAATCAGAAAAGGGGATAAACAATGAAAAAGACTTGATGATCAACGAAGGCACTAGAATAATGAAGACTTACCCATCTTATGACCAACCTTTTGGTGTAGGGTAACCTAGGCTTGTAAGCTTTAAAGGCTCCATAAACAGCTATTGGTGAACCAATCCATAAGAAGCCTGTAGAGAACCATAAAGCAACTGTTTCCGTTAAACAAGGCGAAAACATGGGCCGATATGAGTTACATGATATTTCAGGATCCTAAAGTGCACCAATAAAAGAAATAATTAAATTAAAATTAAAATATTGTAATGAATTTAATTACATAACAAAGACATTAACATAAAGCGAGTCAGACAGTGTAAAATGTAAACAAAGCATGTAACAGCTCTAACTTACCCAAAGTGAGTGACCACAAAACGATTCAAAAACCATAATTGTTGTAGTTTTTCACTGATTAATCGATGCTAATTAAATAAATAATGAAATACACATGGATGGTTTGCTAAAACTGTTGAAACCAGAAATTAATTGAGTATTAAGGTAAATAACTTGACTGCTCTATCAGACTGTTGAACTTTATATAGCTATTATAGCTATTTCAATTGTTCAGATTATCTATATGAGGATGAAAAAATATAAAATGAGATAAGATAATCACAAGTATTGCTTAAACACAGGCAGTTATTACTACTAGAGATGAGCTTGAAAATAGAATTTTATCAATGACTGAATAAATTTGGATTATCTGGCTTGATTTTTCTTGAAAAGGTGAATCAGAAACTACGAAATATCCCTGAATTTGATTCACATAAAAGCACATCTGATCAATATTGAATTTATTTGATTTCAATTCTAAAAAATCATTGTATGATAATGTAAAAATGTGTAAAAACGTCGATTATCATGATAAAATTGCAACTCTCGCCACTCTTCAAGATTATTTCAACAAATGGTACAAAAAACATAATTGTTAATAATTAAAGCATTAACATAGATATTAATCTACCCAATAAAATTCCATGCAACATGGTTTTCATGATAGAAAGATCAAGGATGATCTATCAAGCCAATATACCAGTGGGATCATCAAGATCAACTTTGAACAAAACACATTATTGCATTAAATCAAATTGTTATACAATTTAAAAGCTCCATTCAAAGTGCTATTGATAGCAACACAAGTAAATCTTGTGCAAACATTGTTTCAAGTAAGGTAATGACAAAATATTTTCAATGCCTTGCAAGTTTCTGTGAAAGTGCTGATAGTTTACCAAAGCAAACATCGACAACAATCAAATAAAAAACTGGTTGAGCATTCAACTCACAATTGTCAGTATTGGCAGCTCTATTCTTGCCAAATCCAAAAGATTCCGTCACGTTTAGCGTTTTAAAAGGTTTATCAGAATGATAACTGTTTACGATAAGAGCTAAAGTAAGCTTTTGCTAATTCAGATCGCATATAATTTTGGACTATTTAGTTCTATAATTTATGATTTATTAAAACCATGGATTTTATATAAAAGCTTTAACATCAGCATTTAATGCTACATGATTGTCATAAAGGATAAGAAAAGTTTGAAAGTAAACAATTAGTTAATTGTTCCTATTGTATTTGAAAATGAAATTCAATGGACATTTTAAAGTGGTTGCTCATCTTGTTGTCTTTTCCAAGTGAAATCATCATTGGCCTTTGCAGCATCATGTATCTTCTTAATCTTTGAGTAAGCAAAAGGAGCCATGAATCCCAATGCAGCACCGACAAACAGGAACAACATTATTATACCAAAAGCACCTGATCCCGTTGTCCCTTTAATCACTTTAGTTGAACTGGATTCTTTTCCTTTCTTTCCATTCGATTCCACTTTTAACTCGTAATTTGAACAATGGCCTCCATCAGTGGTTTTAGTGTCAGGACTTTTAACTGAGAAATGAGTCAATGAACAAGAACTTTCTGATCTACTTTTAGGACAGTAATTAAATGATTTACATCCCAATTCATCGCCATCAGATAACGCATAACATAATGAAGCACATTGATCTAAGGTTAATTTGGTTCTTACGATCATCATCTCTGATGTTACTATTTTGTTGCCTGTTTTTTGATATCTTTCAGATACTTTGGCTAAATGGATTGCAGAGAAAGGAAAGGATAAGATAGATGTAAGGCTTGTTACTTGGATTACTTGTAAGAATACTTACGAGTATAAATCATGCATTCTTCATCATATTCAGTAGCTTCATCGGTATACAATAAATTACCAAAAGTACAAGAACCATCACAGTATTGAAAAGATACACATTCTGATGAGGCATGACAGGCCTCTGCACAAGAATGAGCAAAATCTTTTTCAATTTCAGTTGACAACTGAGTTTTGAATTTTCTATTAGACTTTCTTGAATAATTATCGAGAACACTCATAGAATAAATTCCGCATTTTGGGTCAACTTCAACCGACTGATCCCGACTAGCAACGTCAGAAGCCTGCAAACTGCTTACTCTACAGTCAATTTTACCATCGTTGTTGCAGAATGAAAAAGTAATGCAGGAAACTTGATCTGAATCATGACAGTTTCGGTAACAATCAGCAAAAGTTTTTGCATCTGGCACAGCCAAAGTGAATTGATCATCAAGCTTCAACTTTGCATTGTGTCTAATTTGAGAAGTAATATCGTCCTTCAAGCCAGTTTCCCTTTTAGTTTTGTCGATCACATCAATAATCTTATATTGTATGGCTTTTGAGGAAAGAGTAAGAATAATTATCAGTTAAGTAAATTAACAAGATGACTACTAATATGAGCACTACTTACGCAAGTCTACGTTAAACGAAGGGTAATTCCTACCAACATCTTGCAAGTATGCATCATGAATCTGGTCAAGTGTTAACTCTTCTTTAACTCGACGCAAATTGTTCAGTGGAAAGAGATAGACACTGCATGATTGTCCTTGTTTAGTATCTTCCTTGAGATCATCAGGATTCCTCAGGTATCCACAGGCAAGATCTAAAGATCTATAAATGGCAACCCTAATTGTGAAGAGGAAAAAAATTAACAGTTAACAATTAGTTAAAAATTAAACTGAGTCGAAATGTTCATGCAGTCGCGAAATAATCCATACTTTATTGTCCCTTGATATCGTGATAGTTTTTCTAGGCATTCGTCTTCATTGTTAGCCTTAATTTTTATCATCTTGTCCAATGTCTCTTGACTGACAGACATGGATTTAGAGTTGAAAATGTCTGGAAAAGGAAAGAAAGTTAAATAAATGAACTCAATGGTATTCAAGTGAGATCAAAACGTTTTAATCAACTTACATTCTAAATGCGGTAGATCAAGAAATGTTACTTCCATTTCGATTTTTGTATCCGTGAAGCGATATTGAATATCAGAAATTCGCAGTATGCTGACTGGTTGAACTAAAAGGACAAAATAAAGGAAGTCTCCTTTCAACCAGTAAACACGATCCTCTGTGTGTTTGATGCAATCAGTGTATGCAGGATCTGAAGCTAAAAATTATAAATTATTAATAAATAAGCTATTATATTATTTGCATTAGTTATGACTAAAAAGTTATCAAATTGTAAAATATTAATAGTTGGTTTTAAATGACCATTAATAACATTCAAAGACAACATAAACTTTCGACTAGCCACGTTGGAGTTCGACGAAAAGCTCACAAATTTTCCTAAATTACAATCTAACAGTGTAGTCCTTAACCAAATTTCCATGACCAAAAGTTCATAATAACTTTACAATTGTTTATCAATACATACCATTGCACTCTAATATGAAGTTAAGTATCACTTTTTCATCGGTAGACGCGAAATTAACTTTTTCAGTTAACGAACGAATACTCTCGATGGATCGAACCTCTTGAAAGTTCATGTAATCTCTGGTGATTTCATCCTTCCAAATATAAACTTTTCTCTAACAAAAGACAAGATATAAAGACTTATGTTAATATTTTGAGAATAACGAGAATTGAAATGAAAACTTACCGATATATCATAATCATAGATGGAGATCTTGGTACTGACAAGAGTATAATCATAAAATATGTCATCATGTTGCTTAAAACCACCATTTAGATCGAAATTCAAATATTTCATGCGGAATAAGTAATGAACTTATCATTAAAAAAGCATACAACTGACTATTGCTGGACAAATCTCATTTTTTAATTGCTATCGAATATGTGTTTCAATGCAAGTTACTTACCGATGAAGCAAAATATTGAGTGACGACAGCTTTATCCACCTTCTTTCCATTGATGTTAACATTGAATTGAACTGATTCCCATGCTTCAACGGGCAGTCTAGATCGATGTTCCTAAAGAGATTCAATCAAAAAAAATTTCAAAATTGTTGAACCATTTTTTGAACAGTTTACAGTTATTTTACAATAGATTTGGTTTACTCTAATAAGCTACTCAGAATGCATCTAGAAGATTATTGGATATTGATGTATTCACTTCATAATAGTTAACAATGGGTATCGTTGCAGTATTGCATCAACAATTAGCTGAATAAACTTACTTCTGAGTTTTGAGAAGACACTGAATTTTACTTAATGAACGAAGAAATCTACCTAAAATCGAATGAGAAATCGATAGATTTCAGTTATTTCCAGTTTTCACTATCTGATGAACATATTGAGAAATCTTTCATCTTTGACGATTCATTGGCGATTAAGACCAAATACAGTCTTGTCTCGCAGAGTTTAGCAAGAAGAGAATACTCGAAGAATGAGAGTTGATAGGATCACAGAATTTCTTTGCTGTTTCAATCGTACTTATTTTCCATATAAAAAGTCATTAACTTACCAAGATGATCCTCCCAAGATATTTGAACCTACCATCACACATCAAAAGATTATGCAAAGTAAATTTACCGTTCACATTAGTTCCAGGTGCATTCGAGTCTATGGATGCCACAGCAACAGATTCATCTGTTCCAATATGAAAAGAAACTCCAAGTCGATAGTCGTAAATAACTTGGCTCTCTGAACCAACCATTGATGATTTTATCCTCAAAAAATGGTATTGTTGTGCAGCATAAACCTAACAATCAAAATGGATTGAATGACATATGAAAAGAAAGCTTAGTGCAAAAGTATTGAGTATTCAACATTTACAAATTTTAGTTTCGGAATGCAAGGCTTGATTCGTTTAATCACTTTCGTTTAACTCAGATTTGTTTCAATGCTGTATCTTGTTTCCACTATATGGTATTTATGGTTCAATCAATGGAAACTTGAAATTCATTTATGACTCCATTTTTCGATGTTAATGGTCCAAATATTGCTATTAAATGATTAATAATCTTAACTCTTGAATTTATATTCATATTAACGTTTCTAAGTGAGTTAAAAATTTGTGTCTGTACTCAAAACCATAATAAAAACAGTGAAATCGTCGTAATTCATAATTTTTTATTATTAAGATGCTTTTGTACCAAGCTTTAGTTGACTAGGTAAACTAACCTCACTAAGTGTTCGAGACGTAGTTGAGCCTTTGATTCGTTCATCCATGGTGTAGTGTATATGATAAACTCTCAACTCTGGTGAGGGTTTATTTCCAGATAAGTAATGTGGACATCCAATTCCAGGTGGCGACTGGTCAAGGGATAAACAGTGAGTTTTAATATGAATTTATGTTTTTATTAATATTTAGAAAAGTGCATTCAAAAAACGATGAATATTTCATTTCTGAATATTTGTCCACAATTATAATATTATTATTATAATATAATATTATTGAACTAATACTTACTTGAACCTCATTTTTAATCTGATCAGCAGAAATACCGTTGTCAAAGTAAGTACCTAGCACGTCTTGAATAGAATAGATATCCATAATGAGATTCTCTTTGCCTGCATTTGCAATCGAAGCTTCATCATGAACACTAAATTCAATTCTACTTGGATTTTCTATTCCGAATTGGTAATCATAATGACCTGTGTTTACAAAAAAAGTGAAAGTAATTTAAATTATAATCAACTAATTTAATCCAATTGTTGACTTACTTTTATAATAGAAAGTAATTTTCAAATTTTTATTCATTTCTGCTGATGCGCCTTTCATCATGAGTCCTCTGATGTTTTTATCTGCAACTGATTTCTGTTAAACAATAGAATCGATTAATACATTTGAATAAAATGAACCAATAAGAATATTTACCCAAACAAACGATGAATGATCAAGTCGGTATAATATCGAAGGTCCCAGCAAGAGAATCAGGTTGAGCAAAGGTTTGTCGATTCCAGGTAAAGTTTTATCCCAACTATTCTTGTAAGTGAATAGTAAACAATTTGTACCTTTGGATAGTGAAATGAACAAGCATAATTAAAAATTGACTCAATTAGAACAGTAGAATCGAGAAAAAAGGTGTTCACTTCATTGGTATAAATTATTTCAGAAACCAATCTCATCAAATAAATCTGTTTATATTTTTTATATTCCAGTAAAATTTAAAAAACTGAGGCTTCTTACCATGAATAACCAACCGTTCCTTGCTGTCCACGTAATCATGATAATCAGCTTTGTAATGTATTGAGTAGGAATCCTTATCACTTGAGATTGAAATTTTACCTTTAATGTCTGGATCAGTAGCTGATATTAACTCTTGAATAAAATACTTTTTAAATCCATTCTGAGAGGAGAAATGAAAAGTTAGATTGATCGACAATAAGTGAATTGTTCAACTTACAACATCAGTTAAAGTAGCATTAATCAATGAGCTTCCTTCAGGCACATTTAATGGTAAGTCCACCAAACTGTTGAGACTGACTGTTAATAAATGCATATATCAATATATTAGTCAAGACGATTGAGTTTTAATTTCAATTCTTACTTGTTGATACTGTTGAAAGCAATGTCAAAACAATTAAAAGTTTGAGTAACATTTTAATATAGAGGAAATACAGAATTAAATACAAACAGAGTTAATTTTAACAATTTGTTTCCAATTACTGTTGCTGAACATTTGCAAATTAATTAAATATTTATAAAATAGTCTTTTATACCATAATATCGTATGCAAAGTTCGCGCAAAGTAGAGACGCCTCACATAAATAAACAATAAATAACTCAGTGAAAGTCAAAGATATTAGACTTATCAAAATAGTTTCCTTTCGGTTCATGATTTGTGTACTTAAACGCAGCATCAGGTAATTGAATTTTGTACCGCATTACTTGGTCAAATGAAATGAAAAATTGATAAAACCTCTAAAAAACAGATTAGATACTATTTTATCATTATTAGAATCTTTCTGCATGTCGTTGAAATTCAGGGTAACAGTCACCATGAGCAAAGGTTTTCGTCTCGTTCTTGTGCATAGACCATGCATAGGTCACATTTTTGACCACGTTTGGACTATTACGGGCTAGAAATAGTGCAATGATTTATTCTTGAAACTTCAGAAGTTATGATTTGGATTTGATGTATTGCAAACACAAAACAGAAATTAAACTCTGTGACCAAAAGTATTGTTCAAACCCGAGAAGCTGCTTTGATGTAAGGTAACGCAGCAACTTACAGTTTTTGTTAATTCAATAGTTCATTAGTTTTGTTCACTAGTTTAATGAACAAGCCTAATAGTGGAAAGCAAACGATATTATTGTTATGAATTGCCCAGCTCGCTCTCTTGATCTTAATTGTTAAAGCGAAGATTTCAACTTGCACTACCACTAAATTAATTTCACTTTCAACTTTAATTTATTACGGAAATCTCAAGACCGGTTTTCCTCAGACTTCATATTTTGATACGTAGACAAATGAAAGCATTTTAAAGAACTGAGATGAAAATCGAAGCCATCGGAGGTCATTTTTTTGGTAATTAGACCTTTTCTCTCCAGAGGTAATTTGAACGTCATTTGTTAGTTTTTCTCAAAACCACTGAATGACAAGATTAGATATTATTATATTTTATCATTGTCAGCATCTTTTTGGATGTCGTTTCAGGGTGAATATCATTCTGTGATCAAAAGTATTGTTAAAACCCCAGAAGCTATTTTGATGTAGGATAACGCACCAATGCATAGTTTTTGTGCAATTTTAGCGTAGTACAAGAGAGCGATTTTTCTGTTATGAAGCGTCCAGATTGCTCTCTTGATCTTTATCCAATAGAGGACTTTTGAGGATGCCTTTCGCTGACATGTTTGAATTGCTTGATTCGAAAAATTGTCGCGAATTCTTGACGCGTGGCCCAAATGTCGTTCAACATAAGTTATCGATATTTGACAAGCATAAATCAATCTAAAAAATGTGCGCTCTCAGAAAGTGATTTAAAGGTAAAATAACGGATGGGCCTTGAATGACTTAAGAGTTCTAACTTATTCTTCTTCAACCTGCGTAAGCCCATGGTTCAAATCTTACGTCTTTAGCATTAACAGTTCGTAAGTTATGACTGCAAAAAGGGATAAAGAGTGGGAAAAATCCCCGTTTGTTATCAGTCTCAATAAAATAGCTGCTGAAGTCTCACTTTCTGTAAGTCTCTCTTATTGAGTGTCTTGAGTAGTTCTCCTTCAAAGTCTCATATATCTTTGATTTATAATATCTTCAAATCAGTGTTAAATTAATTGCACTGTGGGAGCTGTGTGTTCTCTCAATGGATTATTATTAATAACGGGATAAGTGTTTCAAGATTAAACTGGTATGTTGTTTTCAATAATTTCAATAATCATAATTAGTTCGTGATCTTATTTGTCTTTATTATATTTCTCTCAATCGAAATGTTTTTAACCGATTATTTTGTCTTTTCTCAACCCTTATACAGCATAGCAAGTGGACTCATATTTTTATTTGTGTTCAATTTTCTTGTGACAACAGTCAAGAGATTATTCTTATTACCACCTGGACCATGGGGACTTCCAATCGTTGGTTATTATCCATTCCTGAAAGACGAAAGTTACCTTGCGTTTGATTCTTTATCCAAAAAGTATGGACCAGTTTATTGTTTAAAGTTGGGACTGCATGATGTTGTTGTCATTTGTGATTGGGATCACCTTAAGTTAGCGTTTGCTGATGAGTCTCTACTTGCTCGACCTTATGAGACTTTCTTCGAAGGACTGATCAACGAGCCGTCTTTCATTGAAATGTCTGGTGAACCTTGGCGTGCTCATAGACGCTTATCCTTACAAGTACTTCGTAATGTTGGCTTTGGTACAAGTAAAATGGAAGATGCTGTAAGTACAGAGATTCAACAGTTTTTACCAACAATTGGAAAGAGCAAAGTGGATTTTATCGCGAAAATATTACCCAGCGTATCAAACAACATATCACTTTTACTTTTTGGTCATCGTTTTGATTATTCGGATGCATTTAAAGTTGAACTGGACGATAATATGGAAAGAGTTAATCAAGCTGTCCAGTTTGCCGGTTTGACTGCGTTTTTCCCCTGGTTAGCCAGGATATTTGCTATTTTTAAATTGTCTGGAATGGACATAATTGATAAATGTATGAATGCTGCAGAAGATTTGATACAAAAAGAGATTGATAGACACCAAGTTAAAACAGATATGAATGAAATTGAGGATTACATCGATGGCTATTTGGTGGAACAAAAAAATCGTCATAATAAAGATGAAAATGATGAAGTATTCAATAATAAAGTTTTACTACGAAATGTGACTGAATTTTTCGCTGCTGGGTCTGAGACTGTTACCAGTACACTATCATGGGCCATGATGTATTTAATTTATAAGCCTGAGTACCAAGACAAGATAAGAACTGAAATATCCGATGTTATTGGATTCGACCGAGAACCCTTGTATGTTGATAGGAATCGAATGCCTTTCACAATGGCCTTTCTCTACGAAGCACAACGAATTGGGTCCGTTATTGCTGTAAATTTACTTCGTCGAGCCGCAAGAGACACAAAGATTGGTGAATACAATATTCCTCAAGATACTGTTGTAATCTTCAATTTATGGAGCATTCATCGAGATCCAAAACTATGGCCTGAACCAGAAAAGTTTGATCCCAACCGATTTCTGTCTGAAGATGGAAGCAAAGCTATTAAGCCACCTTACTTGGTCCCCTTTAGTGGAGGTAAAAGGATCTGTCTCGGTGAAGGCTTAGCTAATGTCGAATTATTCTTGTACCTTGTGAATATTTTACAAAAATATCGAGTTCGATGTGATCCAGATGTAAAGTTGTCTTTTGAATCAGTATTTGGAGTCGCAAGGCGACCAAAACACTTACCTCTTCTTACTTTCGAGAAAATTGCTTCACAAAATTGACAACTTTTACCAGCTGTCAAAAAGTTGCTGAAAACCTATGAAACGTTTCTAAATTTGCAGCTGTTTCGTGCCCAGTCCTTCCGACCACCCTAAGTAAAAGCCAAGAACTAACAGTCTTTGAAAAAGCAATCCTAAATTGCATTATAATGAATCCATCGATTTTTCATTTATATCTTGCTGTTCCATAATCAATTTGATTATGATATCAATTTAACTATCCAATAAAGTTATAAGTGTATCTTGACTAAACAGATCCGAAAAAGTCTAATCTAATATATTACTTCGGTAATTCAGTAGAATATGCTTTCTACTCATTCGTGTTTACATAACACGATCAAATTTACCGCAATTTTTCCATATTCAATGCTTTTTCCAATCACTGTTTGGCGTGAGTGTAGCTTTTAATTATTGCAATTGTGAATCAACTTTTGATCTCTGTTAACGATTCTCATCAGGTCTGTTCTTCAATTGAGTTTAAATTTAAATTAACTTTATTAATTTGCAACTTTTGTTAAGCAAAAATTTCGATGATTATTTATTTCAAGTGTTCAACAATGAATAACCTTTCAAGTTGAATTATTTGACTTGGTTTGTTTATAAGTGTTTTTATATTGCAATTGTGTAAAAACATCATCTTTGCATGTTGTAAAGTATTTTATGTCATTATGTTATACAAATTCAAATCATAAGAAAAGGATAAGGCAGTTGCGAGGATAATGTAGGAGGAGGAGGAGAAAGGATTGGAGAATTACAATTGATGAATTTAGTTGATGAATGGATGAACTCGCAGAAAAAAGAGAACTTTGATTTGAAGTGATGAAACAATTAATGTCGATTACAATTTGCAGATGATCAAGGCACGTTTCTTTAATTGTGTGCATTATTATGTCGATGATGAGATAATGTTGGTAACCTTAGTCCATTTTTTCTGGGAGATTTATCTGGTTTGAAACTTGAATTGTTGCTGTCATGTTTGCACCTTACTCAATTAGTAACAAAAAAAGATGAGGTTTGATTGTTTGTTGATAGATAATAGAAATAGAACAGACAAGTCAAAATTTGGCAAGAAATTAGTAGTTACAATTAGGAATCAGAGATATGAAAAGTACTTTGCATGTGAGAAACATTTACACTTTTCATTGAGGAAAACAAGAAAAGATGTAAACCCACACACACACAAGGCAAGCACAACATCTTCAGGTCATGTTTCTGTATAATAGCAATTAACATTTAGCAATAATAATAATAATAAAAGCGCTCTCAAAATTGATAATGATAATAGTTGAATCATTATTTATAGTAGTTATAATTAGAATAGTTAATCGTCAGTCAATAATGTTAATAATTCTAATCCACTGATCATTCGTCCAAAAAAGGCTAGTAAAGTGGTGTTATCCTTGGCAATTGTACAGTTCGGTATAAATCGATTCCCGAGCAAAAAGTGTTAGCCCATCGTGAATTATTGCCAAGTTGCGCTGTTGAATTTGAACTATCAGTTTCCGATGAGAGGCTTGAACTTCGAGATCGAATTGATCCAGTCGCAGAGCTTTTCTTTGATCGTAAATCATACGTTGAACAATTCGGGCTCGATGAAGTTGAATAGTTTTTAATAAATTTATCTATAAAAGTAGAAAAGAAAAAAATTCATTAGTAAAAAATCTAGTAGACAGAAGAATCAGAGTAAATGGTGATAAAAAAAGTGAATTGAAAATAAAAGTGTAATTTGATTAAAAGCCATTAATCAATCAATCAATCAAGCATATTGTTTAAAAGAAGAGAAATGAAGTGAAAATTGTCTGGAAAAATGGTTTGAGAAGTGAACTTGATTGCACCAAATCAAATCACCATGAAAGCTTAAACATGGCAAAAGAAGTGATTATATTAATGAGTGAAAACTTGATAATCAAAAAACTCAACGTGTAAACGGTTAAAGGAGAGAGAGAGCTTTTAATTAATGTTAAAATGTATAAACAATTATTTCCCTACGTTGCTTCCATTTAACGTTTAACGGCCTGATGATCTAAACTTGCTCCTTGTCAAATCGTCATTACTATTATTGTTGTTTTCATTATTATTAATCTATCAACCAAATGATTTTTAAAAATTCAGCAAATTATAGTAAACAATAATAACAATAGTAGACTTACACACACACTATTAGTACAAATTAGTTGATTGGTTTGCTGAACGCAACTATAATTGTTTAAATAAGATTTGAGTTTAAACACCGAAGATGGGTTAATGGATGGAAATTGTAATTATTACTTTCAACAATTTGTCTGTAAATAATTATATTTGCTCAACTCTTAACATCTATAATCTTGAAGACTCTACCCTTCTATTAATACATAATAAGGTAAACCGAAAGATTGAAACTTTGCCATTTGCTTTGCCAAAATATACATTCGGTTTAATCCTTACCTGGTAAAGGTGTTTGATCGTATAATGAGCCTGGAAGTCTTTGACTAAGAAAACTGGGCATTTGATTTGACGAGGAAGCTTCAGGAATCTCCATCAATTTATCTGCCGCTTTATCCCAAACTCGATTTTCTTTGATGTGAATCTCGATGACGTTGAGCCAAACTTCTCGATCTTCCTTATTTAAAACGTAAAAAGTGTTCTTTTTTGATTCTTTATTAATTATTGTGAATGACTTGGAATCAGAGCCTTTCTTGCAAAGTGTAAACCTATTTACGTCCACAATTAAACTGGGTTCACCTGAACCTCGTTCAGCTAAAGGTTCAACGTTAACAGCTGAAATTGGTTTTCGCCAAAGGTACAATTTAAATGCTTCAAGGGATGCCCAATAAATTGGTTTCTTTGAATCCTTCTTTGAGTTACCCTCAGGTTCACCTTTGAGGTAACCACTTAACCTTTCCTCTGTTAGACAATATGGTTGGACTGCTAATCGACAGCAAAAAAGGCCAAACAGAGGCAACTGTGAGCAACTCTTTTCTCCTTTAACCAACTGTAGATCATATGTACAAATGGATTCATCTGAATCTTCCAATCTTAATGTTGCTTTGGCGAGAAGATCAAATTTAGGATGTCTAAATGGGAAAAGAGGAGAAAAGAAAATTTCCATAAATCAATTTGAAACGAGAAAATAATCGTCGATTCTCTTTAAACATACGGTTCATTGAGCTCCTCTTTAATTACAGCTCCCAATTTTCGTCCAAAGGTGCGACTAACTGAAGAGGAAATTTTTTTCCTAAGCTTTTTAGGCGTTGAAACAATACTGAGATCGTCATGCATTTTTCTTCCATAAACTTCCAGGTTGAGTTCAAAGTCATGAGGAATGTGATGAAGTACAATTACATCGTCAAAATTAATGTCGGTCATGCTTCGATCAATGTTATTAACTAGCACGGTATCGTAAACCTCAGTTCCACATTTGATGAGACAAAAAACTGAGAAACGCCGATGGTCGCTTTTGTTTTTGAAGTGATCTAAATCCTTCCATAGTAAAGGCATTCTTATATCTATAAATTGACATAAAAGACAAAAAGACATTGAAATGGAGTGAAAAAAATTAAGATTTTCAGAGTGTGATCAAATGAAATGAATTGAGAGGTGAAAAATGCCGTGAAAAATAAGGATTGAAGGACAGTCGTAAAAAGGGAAAAGAGATTAATTGTAAATAATTTCAATTGTTGTGAACTCGATTTACGTGAGTTATCAAGTAATTTCATCAATTCACAGGATACAAAACATGATTTTTTTCTTCCATTTCTAAACATTCAACTTCTTATACAACAAACACATCCTCATCCGAATGGTGAAGTAAATTGAGCTTTTGTTTGAAAATTTCTAAAGCCATTTGTTTCTATTTTTACTCATTAATAGCAACACTTCAGTAACTGAACTCATCAGTTTTGATAACAATTTTGTCCACCAAAGATGATGACAAATTTTTAATGAACTAACATGGAATAAGAAAGGTTTAAATTGAAAGCCATCAACACAATATCATTACAATGACAGTGAATGATGGCAATTAACTAATTTAATGGGGAACAATTTGAGTCACCAAATAAATGTAAGAATTGCAAGGGATTTAATGACAATCAAATTAGAGTCAAGAATGTTTGGTGACACTATTAGATTGAGTTATTATTAGGTTGTCATTCAATTGAAAATGAATTCTGATTAATCTAAGTCAACAATTGGAAAAAAATTAATCATGATAATAAAACAATTGAAAATCAAATGTTCTGGTATAAACTGAAATGAGGAAGTTTGAAACAAAAGGTAAAATTAAAGATGTTGAAAGTAGTCAGCAAAATAAAAGGTAATCATGATGATGATAATGATTTTTTCAATCAAACTCGATTATTGTTAATCTTGATGAAGCTATTAATACATCTCTATGGTTGTTGACCTTTGGATTGTAATTAAATCAACAAATTGACTTTGATTTAATAAGAAAAATATATTTACTAAAGACTCAGACTCTTGGTTACATTGTTTTTAAAATATCAAAATGATGTTTTAATGATTATCATTAAAAAACCTTATTAACTTGTAAATGAATTTAATCGTGAAATCACGAAAATATATGTTGATATGCTCACAATAATAGATAACAATTGGCCTCAATTGAAATAGCAAACAAGTATTTTGGTTTGATTGTCAATTAAATTAAATGAGAAAACTAATTCGTTCTAATGATTTGTAATGAACCTTTTATTATTAAAAAGTGAAACAAAACAAAGTGTAGGATTGTTTCTTATTTTAATACTTTGACCGTTCAACTTCATCTCAATTTGTGAATTAACTCAAATCAAAGGATTGGCTAAATCAATGTGAACATTCAGATGAAACAAGGTTAATTGATCATCAAAAGCATCACCATTTAAGTCATCATAAACATAAACGACAAGATGAGGCTTGAGTTTAAAAAAGCCGATGAATATTAAGCATTTGAAGGTGAATGATAATCGCTGAGAAAAAAGGTTGAGTTATTGTTGAAAGATCTAATCTAGCTGAGAAATCCATCATCATGATTAATAAATTGAAATTTAGATAAAAATAAAACTTGAAATAGATTGAAAATAATTATAAAAAATCAGGAAATTGAATTAAATTACGAAGCTTAGAAATTATCTCAATATCTGATTTCATGAACAATTTCAAAGCAAATGACTTTTTCAAGTCAATAAAAGTCAATGAAAACTTGTGAAAAAGATGGAAATTAATTAACCCATTTTTGCATGAGTTTGGGTTGACCTTTCCGGTTCGGGAAATTGTCATCAAACAAGTTGAGATAAAGAAATGAATCAACATTGAGATCAACAAAACATCAAAAGATCATCATGATGGGTAATCTCAATGTGAGAATTACTTCAACATAATTCACTTATCATGAACCTTAATTAAGCTCATCATTAGCCTAAAAATTTCATCATCATCATCATTATCAGCATCAAAATTTGAAGTTTTTTTTGTGTTTTTCACTCAAAACAACAGGTTAATTTCAAGATTCATTTTATTACCCTTAAGTAGAAAAACATCATGTTAATCATGTTGAACAATCAATTTTATCATCTTTTTTTCTATTTCATACTTTCTCTTTCATTTAAGGTTGTTTTTCACCTTCATCAATCGTGACTAAAACTCTGTTGATAATAGCAATTCATCATAAACCACCTTTTTTCAGGTAAAAAAATCAATACGTTGCAATAATCATACTCAAACTTTGATTCCAATCTCATCATTCGTCTATTAAAAAATATTGGGTCCTCTTTTTTATACTCAACTTGAGCTATAACCGTTACCTGTTGCGTCTTGCTCTACCTGCCCGGAAACAATTACACTAATCGAGTTTCCTCACTTTTTCTTGGCGAAAAAATGATTTTATCAATATTTTTTTCCCTTCACAGTTTTTTACTTCAACATATTGTATATTATTAGACATAATGTATAAGACATCAATTAAAAAATGGATAAAGGCTTGAAGCAAGAAACTGAAATTGAAATTTTAATGCAAATTGATAAAAAAAGTTGAAACTATCATGTAATTTATTACACTAATAGTAATGTTATTATCATTATAATGATACCATGTGTAATATTACGAGAAAACTTGATCAAAAACCAAGGTCCGGTTTGCACCTTCAAATCATGTAACTGATTATTGTTCAAGTTTTTGTGTTTTTCATGTTTACTTGATTCTCAGGTGGAAATGAAAAGCTGATTCGGCAACATTGAACGTAACCATAAGTAAAAACTGGTAAACAAAAAGGTAAACAGTAACAATTGCTTGCTTGGTTGTACGTAAATTACCAAGCTGTTAACAAATCAACATCATTATGTTAACCTCACACAGATATTGATATCTTGGGGCAAGAAAAGTCAATATTGTTGGGCGTCAATTCATCCATCAATTACATTAATAACTTCATGATGTTAATTTGCAAATGATGACTGATTTAACTCAGCGGAAAGCAATAACGGGAAAAGGTTAAAGTTTGAACATTGCAACAATTGATGCTTCAGTGAACTTTACTTTGATCATATTTCATTTTAAAGGGCCATCGATTGTTAATGATCACCAACAGTAAAATGTTTATTTCCTATCCTTGCACAAAAAAACATAATTTGTTCAAATAGTCAATTTTTGAAAAATGTAATCACCTTAGTTAGTCTGGAAAATTGTTAAGCCGGAAAACAAAAGATTTTACTGTTCAAAGTCAACCCTTTGGAGTTGCCAGAGTTTTTTTGCTTCATCTGTAATCATGTATGAAATGAGGTTAACTCAGTTTACTTCAACTATTATACTAATTGGTTGAGCCGTGGATGGTAATCAATTGCATAGTAAACAAGAGACAAATCATTATACAAAATGACTCTTTTACTTGCAAATGTTACAATTTGTCAAGAGTTGTTATTAGCATAGACTCGCATAGTCATGGTTACATCAAGTAATAACGTCTGTCAAGTTTCGTTAGTAGGACAAAGTTGATGGTTTCACTGTGATAAGGTTTCATGATATTTAATCAGAATGTGTTGGTTAGCTAATAAACTCTTAACAATCACTCATCTAGGTTTGTGAATATTGACATTGATTCAATCATTTATTTTCACCTCTTTTACTGGAAATGAAAAGGTTAAAAATCACAACTCTGACGCTGAATCTCGATAGATGCAAATTTTAGTTAACTTTAGTTGCTTCATCAACTCTGAGTGAAGTAACCTTTTATATTGCCAAAATTTATTCACAAAATGCACATGACGGCATGATGTTGGATAAAGGGTACGAGATACAATTGGTGTGTAAAAAACTCATTTGAGTGGGATTAAGTTGGAAACCAGGGGTGAAAGATGGATAATAATATGATAATCTGAATATCCACAAGTTTAAGCCTTTACAAGTATTTTTGGTACAATATCATTTAATATGAGCGCAACTGGAAAGATTGATAAGCTGATGTTATTTGTAGCTTTAACACAGTTAGGAATTGCTTTTTTTAGATAATCTAATCAGAATGAATATGATGATGAGGATGGAAAAACGGTTCTCTCTTTCCATTCTCTATGCAACTCTCACCTCAACCTACATTTATCATGATGATACGGCGATAGTAAATCAAGCTTCTGGGGGTAAATGTGATTTTACCATGAGCAACTCATGACGATGAGTGAATGAAGGAAAAAAAACAAGCACAACAACACAAATCTAAATGGGAGGTTAGTTAAACAATAGACCTGGTGTGGGCCAGAACCAGGGTACGATTAATCACATTATCATATATCATGACACAAACAATTCAGTGCTAGTGGTTATTACAATCATTTGCACCAATTTTTAGTCCAAGATCAGCTCAATGTTTAAAGACAAACAAAAAGATGGTAAACATTTATGCATCTTTAAACACTGACGATGAAATGGACGCTATTTACATGATAATACCGAAGAAGCAACAACACCAATATAAATGATAATATTGTTGATGGGTCATTCATCATCATAAACATCCTCATCATCTTATTTTGTTGTGAAAGTTTCTTTTTCATGACTTGACCAGTTTAAGGACAACATGGTGAGATGCAACATAAAAATAAACTGACAATTCAAAGCAACTTGAAATTGCCAATTATTACAGTTAAAAGTTAATGAAATGACAATCATTGTAAAGTTGATTATCAATTTCCGGAACTTCGCTAATTTTTGAGAAATGACTTTAAATTGTTATTGGTCAAAAAATTAAACTTGGGTCACTCATTGTTAAGGAAAGTTGGAAATGCCATTAAATGGACATAAAGATTACAATAAAAATTTAAGATGCAATTCAAGTGAATAATTTTCAATACTGAAAAAAGTATCGAAGAGTTTAAATTGTATTCAACCTTTTTTACGCGTTATTTGTGCCAGTGTTCATTACTCGCTTCAGTGACTTGTGATGGTTATATTTGTGGCCGGACATATCAAGGTCAATCAAAAGGTGAGTTATGAAAACGCGGTGATGAGAAGGATGAGGATGAGGAAAGAAATGTGAAAATGATTCGCATGTTCAAGTCCATTGTTTGAGAAGAAATTAAAACAACTTTTCTTTACCTAACAATTAGAACAGATATTTGATTGTTTAGTACAAATTGACTCATTAAATAGGTTTGTATGTTGACGAATAGATGTAAACATATATTGCACTTTTGATAAGAAAGGATATAAATTGGAAAAATGAGAAGCGAAAAGAAACGATTCCAGATTAATGGATACAAAAGTAATTAACTGTTTGTTTTTTTATAAACAAATGCAACTTGGAATTTGACAGAACTTTTCAATTTACAATTGGTTTCATGCAACTTTTCAAAAAACAAAAACATCACAAGTTCCTTCATCTTTATCATTTAACTTTTTGTTTCTCCCTTTATCATCATTATTCCTACCACATTTAGGTAACAAGCAATAAATAAACTTGCAACTCAAATTGTCTTCAATCAATGCACTGATCTGAATATGCCAACAACATGAATAACATTGAAAGTATCGTTAAAAGGGTAAACAGTTGAAAGAGAGTTGAAAACAAGAATATTTATAGTCGATTGAATTTGAAAATGATAGTGATAATCATGATGAAATTCATTGCACTAGGAATATTGAAAAACTTGAAATGTTGCGGAAAAAAGTTGTGAGAAAGTTGATAATGGATGAGATTAAGATGTTATCATTTTTACCATTTCAATTACAATTGATGTTTAAACTGGGCTCAATATCAATTTTTTGACCATCAATCAGCTGAGAATTGAATCAAACTGAAATGGAGCAACAATCGAGGAAGATGGAGAAACAAATTCATGTTATTTTTTTCCGTACAGCAATAAGGATATTGGTGATTTTGGTAATAATAGTAATCATAACATTTTTAAATCTATTTGTTTGAAAAAGTGACCTCAAAGAGATAAAAGTGATTCTTCTGATTCATTGATTGTTGATGACTTTGTTTGGAGATAATTCAATTCATGGAAATTAAATTGAATGAGGAATGAATGAATCGGTTGATAAATTTCAGGGAAAGATAAACCAAGATAAAAGTTTATATCAATTTATGGACTTGCATCAATGTGGTCATAGGAATGATCACATTGATGGAAGGCAACTTTTTGTTTACTCTAAGATGAACTCATCATCATTATCATGAAATTATTGTTACTATGATTATTATTACTATTTGTTAATGATAACCATCTAAGTTGTACACCTACTCAGAATGATTTTATCACAATGGAATCCTCTGTAAGTCTATGATTACCTGTTGATGAAGTAAGAGCGATGGCAAAAGGTTGTAAAGATGATGATCATTTTAGAGTTAAAAATGATATAACTTGGCTTCTAAGATGATATTAACCTTGATGAAAATGATGAAAATGAAATGACAGTGACTGCTAAAGATGTTTTTGAAGTAACCAAGAAGTGCAATTATAATTGGAATAAAATTATATTCATGATTCCGTGTGAGTGTAACATTGTCTTGAGAAAGTTTAACTTTCTTTGTTGATAATGATGGTGAGGTTTTTGCAAGCTAAATGAACTCGGTTCACTATAACCTTAACTGATTTAATCAGATTGATCAATTGATTGTGATATGTTTATAAATATATGAAGTTGGAGAAAGAATGGCAAGAAAACAATTTATCGTTTTAAATTTGTTGATAACCATGAAAATTAAAATGATAGATGACCTCAAATTAATGGTTGCTTCGTCTAATGGTTTCACTGCAATAACCATGTTATTTTCAAGATATTGTCTTAAATTGTCTGTGTTAACCTTTGTTATACAATATTCAAGCTGTTTCAATGTTTAACCAATTGGCATAGATTTTTTTGCTGATGAAATCTCAGTGAATCGGTTAACTTGAACATTGATAGTAAAAGAAAAAGTGATTCAAATAATAGAAAGGTAAACAAGATGCAAGGAGAATGGCCAAGAACAATGAAAACACACCTTACACTTGTTTACTTTTCTTGCAAATTTCAAACCATTAACGCTCACAGGTAACCTTTTTTCAACTTTTTTTGTCTGTAGGCTCAGTAAATAAGGGTTGGTATACTTTGGGCTTTTTTTATTCCCTTGGAATCAAGTTAATTGTAAACGGCATAGTGTTTGAGTATAATGAGAAGTTAAATGTTTCCAGGCTTACCTGAGATAGCGATTCTTGCTTTACATGGTTTCAGTTGTTTACTTGATTTCCTAAAAGAAGCAGAAAGAAAGAAAAAGATCAGAAAAAAGAAGATTAATTTGATGTTTGTTTAGATCTTAAGCCGTAATTGCTGTAGTTCAAGCAATAATTAGCCATTTCTACATTAAGATCATACAAATCAATGGCGGTTTCATAAGTACCATGGAAGGAGAAGCAAAAATGTTGAATGTAAACGGAAATAAAATCAAAACAAAGAGTAATTTTGTTGGTGATGAAATATAATCTATGGTTATGCCAAATTTCATTTCCGCGTTAACCCAGTGAGAAGAGAAGAAGCCTGAGACAATCTTTGTTAGACTCAATTAGCTTAAAAATACAATCTGGATCACTATTTTTAACTCTTTAACTATGTAAATTTGCCTCTTCTGGTTGATGAAAGCTTTTCTTATTTGTTTCTCTCCGGTTTGTATAATCTTATCCATTTACTTGTTTTGCTTCTCTTTCATCTTTCCTGGCATATTAATTACATAACTCACATGTTGCCCGATTCTTGTTTTCTTCTTTGCAGTTCACTGGTGTAGGCGTTCATTCGCTCATTTGATGTTATTAATGATTTAGCAGGCTCTAGACTTTGTAATTCATGGGTACATGCAGCCAAAAGTTTGGTAGTCCCTTCTCTCATCTTTATTTCCAAATCAATTTTTTGTTCCAAATCATATGGCTATTGATGTTTCATGGTAGATTAACCAGGAAGATAAATTGGGAAAAAAAGAAAGCAAAACAAATTAGAATAAACAAGATAATCCAATTGAATTGAATAGTCAAAATGTAACGTTGACAATCGTAACCAATCAATGATGATGAATATTGTCATGAGAATCATGTATCTCCAACAAAAACACAGAAAAAAAAGATAGCAGAGGCATTTTTATTATCAATCTCTTTTAATTGATAGTCAAGTGAGATGTAAAGACAAATAAGCATTGAGAAAGAGATAGAGAGAAAGATGAAAACACTGCAAAGACATCAAATTGATTGGTTTGATCAAATGTACATGGATTGGTAATGAGAGATGAACACAGACATAAATAAAAAAAACTTACATCAAAAGCCATGTTAAATAAATGCACGAAATAGTAAGAGATGTGACAATATTTTTGGTTGAGTAAAAAATCAGAGAAGAATGGATGGAACACAGACTCAAATTGAAAGAGTTTAATTTAGTGTGGATTCAAATAAAATCACATAACTTTTGAAGTAATCACTGTTTGGAAATCAAAAACACATCAATATTAGAAGTGATAGAAACAACAAATCGCAGGAAAAATCACATAAATCACGAAATGAGACAAAAGAGAGAGTCAAGTCAATAATTAACAAACCACCAGGTAAAAAGAGAAGACTGTAAACAAACGCAAAGTTTAAAAGTGAACGTTGGATTAATAATTTGAAAAAAAGGTAGTTTGAATTCACAAAGAGAAAAGTTAAGCAGCTCAACAAGATTGAAAATGAAACGAAACCTGTAAGTCAACCTTGAGAGAGAGAGAGAGAGAATACGATAGCTTTCTATTCGATAGATGGCAGCACAATTTTTTTCTGGTTTCAAAGTTTTGTTGTTTCAGGTCTTTGGGTAAACCCAATGATTTGTACCTTTTAATCAACATTTGACCAAATTTTTTTGTTCTCGAGTGAGCTTCTGTTAATTAATTTCATCAAGTTTCCATTCAATGTAATTGATAAGAACCGTTTAAGCAATTTAATTACTTTCTTGCAAATCTTTGTTATCATTCGGCCTTCTTTACATTCGGCGTTTTTCGGTGTTCAAGTAACTCAAATTTTCTTATCAATATTTTGCTTTTCGTTGTTTACTGTATTGTATCACAATTGAAGATTTTGATCTTTTGTTGACTTATTGATGTTTTATAGTTGAATCAATTTTTGCCTATTTCAGATATTCTGATCTTTTCTAAGCTCCATCTAGTGATGTTGATTAAAACTATCCGGATTGTGCTGGTTTTTGTTTTGGTTTTGTTACTACAAATTGTCGATGCATTTTAATGCGTTTTGTGTATTTTCCACTTCTGTTTTGGTTTCATCCGTTTCATTATTAAATTAATTCACATGGTTACATTAATATCAAAAAGTCGTTTCTTGTTGTAACCAATTATATTTCTTGCCTAACAAGGGCAAAATTAGTTAAATCTAGCAATAATAGTGATAGAGTAAATCACATTTGTACATTCATAATTCCTACATTTCTCAGGATAATATATTACGTTATCCTGATTTCCTATGAATTGATTGTAATTTGACTTGACTATTAAGGAGAGACAAGGTTAGTAGGCTCTTGGTTCATACACCTAGGGAATGGACTCAATTTTTATTAAAAACTAAGAGGTTGCTTACAATGTGAACAAAATCAACATTTCAATAATCAATTCCTCAATATCATCGGCAAATCAACTGTTTCACTGCCTTTACCGAATTCAAAGACTGATCGGACAAAAACACTAACAAAATACAGATAAATGAAAAAAATACAGATGTAGGATGAATTTCATTTTAACAACCAGAAAGTCAACACAAGTTTCAGTTATGAGTGTATTATTAGTGTGTAATAAGTATAATAATGGGTTATAACTAAAATGAGACACGATTTAAACTGAAATGTTAGATTTAATCGAATGTTACCGAGAGTTTTAATTCAATAATTAATAATTGACAAAGGCCCATGTGCAGTTCGATAATAAAATTTGAACCGGCAATTCGATCTCTGTAATCAGATTCAAATGTCATTCTCAGCTTGTGAATCTACTTGTTTTTTCCAAGTGAAACTTTCGTTGGCTTCTGAAGCACTACGCATTTGTTTAGCTTTTGCGTAACCAAATGGTGCAGCGAATCCTAATAAAGCGCCGACAAACAAGAAGAGCATAATTATTCCAAAAGCATCTGATCCACTTGTTCCTTTCAAGACATCAGTCGAACTGGATTCTTTCCTTTTCTTTTTATTTGATTCCCCTTTCAACTCGTAGTTTGAACAATCGCCACCTTCAGTGGTCTTAGTATTTGAACTTTTAACTGAAAATTGAGTTAATGAACAAGAACTTTCTGTTCTACTTTTAGGACAATAATTAAATGATTTACACCCAGTGTCACCATCGGACCATCCATGACATAATGATGCACATTGTTCGAAATTTAAATTTATTTCAGTGTAAAGCACATCTGATACGATCTTGTTGCCCGTTTTTTGGTACTTTTCAGATACTTTGGCTAATTGAATTAAGAGTAAGGAATTAATAAATGACAAAAACTTGTTACTCATTTCTATGGATACTTACGAAGATATAAACTGCATTTTTCATCATATTCAGTAGATGCATCTGTATAAAAACCACCAAAACTAATACATTGATTATCACACCATTGGAATGAAAAACAATCAGGTGAAGCATGACAATACTCTGCACAAGAATCAACACTTTTGTCGACTGCGATTGAAGTCTGTGTTTTAAATTTTCTTTGAGGTACTTCTAAGTAATCATTGAGAGCATTCAAAGCGTAAATGAAACACGTTCTGTCTTGCTCAACGTACGATTCATTAAAAGAGTCTTCAGTTAATAAGCTGCTTACTCTACAGTCACCATTTAAACAGAATGAGAAAGTATTGCATTTGAGTTGCTCTGAATTATGACAGGTTCGATAACAATCAGCTAAGGTTTTCGCATCTGATACAATCACTGTATCTTGATGGTTGCTTCTCAGCTTTACTTCACCTCTAATTTTGGATTGAAAGCCACCAGTCGAGGTATCTTGGTTTTTTGTTTTATCGATAACATCAATTAATTTATAAAATCCGACTTGAAAGAAGAGGTTAAAAAAGTTATTAAGTCTTTCTGAAGTTATTAACATAACTATTAATTATAAGTTAAGAGCTCAAAAGTGGTTATATGGCGCCTGCAGACTCTGCAGTATAGATAATGGCTGAGAAGTACTTACAACGTTCTAAATTCAAATCTAGTAACGAGTAATGTTGTCCAGCGTATAGCAAAAAAGCATTGTGAATTTTATCCAGTGGTACTTCTTGGTAAATGCGACGTAAATTATGTAAAGGAAAGTGATAGACGCTGCATGGTTCTCCAATTTTTGTATCTTCCTTGAGATCATCAAAATCTTCCAAATATCCGCAAGAAGAATCTGATTGTCTATAAATTACTACTCTGCATGAGAAAAGAATAACAGAATCATTAGTTTTCCATTGAATCAAAATGGTCAAGTTTCGAGATACATGTATATACCTGATCCTATCTGGATATTTTGATAATTCGTTCAGACACTCATTTTCATTGTTTGCTTTGATTGTTTGCATCTTTTTCAATGTATCTGCACTGACAGACATTGTTTTAACGTTAAAAATATCTGGAACAGAAAAAAGTTTAACATTGAATTAGCATAAATTTAGTATGAATGTAAATTTCAAATGAAAATTACATTGGAAATTAGGTGAATCCAAGAACGTCACTTCAACTTCAAGTTGTGCGTCATTGAAATTATATTCAATGGTATCGATTCGAAGTGGACTGATTTTTTCGCGTGAAATAACAAGATACACGAAGCTTTGCTTTAACTCGTAAAGATGACTTTCCGTGAACTTTTGTGACGAAACATTGTTACCTAAAGTGTAAAAGAAGAACGTCAGGCATAAGTACTTAAGACCAATTATTAATACTTTTACATTGTAATACATGACTTTCATTGCAATCAATTTCAATTTTGGAAGATCATGGTCAAAGCATCATATACACAATTATTTAAAAAATTCATCAATGATTAATTTTGATCTTTAGTTAATAAGCCAAATTAAATGAGGCTAACACCAGGTTTCAAATCTGAAACATTTCATTGAATTTCAATAAAAAATGTGGCCCTGGTCAATTGCATTGCAATAACACAAGCTCAGTTTATGGCCATATTGACTATAATTACAATACATACCTTTATTATGTAATTTAAAGGCAAGGGTTACTTTTTTATCACTAGACAAGTATTTACAGTCTTTTATTGTAAAGATATCGTGAAATTCATCTTCAAGTTCAGCCTTTTCAAAGTTCAGGTAATCTCTTGTGATTCCATCCGTGAAAGTGTAAGTTTTTTTCTAGAAAAAGACAAAAATATATTAAGAAACATCAGTCTTATTTTAATCAAAATCAATATAATGGTACTTACCGATGAATCCAATTTATAGATGGCAATTGTGGTACTGACAAGTGTAAAGCCATAAAATAATTCACTATTTTGCTGAAAACCATTTGTTTGAATATTTCAAATTGAATGAGAAATAAAAAAATGAGTTACACAAAAAAATCATATGTTTGAATGATAATAACCTTATTTTCACAATTCTCACTACATTTACATTTGTTTTTTCTTATTATTTTGTAATTATATTTATTTTCTTTGACTAGCATTTTATGTTAAGGTAGTGGAAAGAAAAATTTAGACATAATTTCAAAATTGATCCACTACCTTAATATAGTTTAACGTTAGTTAAATAGTTTAAATAGTGACAAACTTACCGATTCAGCAAAATATTGAGTAATGACAGCTTTGTCGGCCTTATTCCTGTTGATAGTGACATTATATCTGGTTGCTTCCCAGGCGTTTACGGTAAATCCAGGTCGATGTTCCTAAGAAGATATACAAAAAAGTATTTAAGAATAGTTACCTACTGTATTGTCAACTTCACATTTAATTTGGGTCCATCCAATCATCATTTGCTGACTTTAAAACCTTTTGGTTACTTCATGCAGAGTATAATCCCTTTCAACTTTATCAAATCACTGATAGTGGTATAAAAGCTATTCCTAAAAGTCCATTTTTTTATTCTCGATATGTTTGAGATTTGATACACTTACAATGAGATACCAGATAATGAGTAACAAAAAAACAGCTCATTTCTCTGTTATTATTACTCACTATTCATTCAGAGTACTGAGAAAAGTTTCATTATTGATCATTTAATTATTAAATCATTAAACTCCCCCAAAATATAATTAAATAGATCAATGAAATTCCATGCATAAAATTACGAATTTTTCTTACGATTACTTACTAAGTTGAGCTTTCCAAGATAATTAAAAATAGAGTCAAAAAGGAAAAGATTATCTAAATGGAAGTAACCATCAGAATCGATTCCAGGTGAATTTAAATCTGCAAATAACATGCTACATGATCCACCCTCTTGAAGTAAGAAAGAAACTCCAAGTTGATAATCATAAATAACTTCAGTTGTTACACCAAGAACATTTGATTTTAGTTTTAATAAGTCATGCTTTCCCGATGCATAAATCTGCAAAAAGAAATGAAAATTAATGTAAAATGTGAAATACTTTACCAAATAAACTAACCTCACTGAATGTCCGAGAAGTGGTTGAACCTTTAATGTACTCGTACATAGTGTAATGTATATAATCAGTTTTCAATTTAGGGATTGAAGGTCCATCTGTGGATAAGTAATGTGGACATCCAATGCCAGGTAAAGGCTAGTCAAAAGGCAAGAGACAAAATGTTCAAATGCGAATCTCTTTTAACTCTTCAAATATTAGAAATGGTGTTTGTTTTATTTTAAGAAAAGTCAAAATTCAATTCTTGTTGAGAAATGTATTTCATTTCTGAATAATATTCACTTTATTGTTACATAAATAGCGATCTGTATGCCTACATACAATATGTAAAGTCGAAACATGGTACTTTTGCGCTGAGATTGTGGCCAAACTAAACGATAAAACTACTTTCACAAAAAACTATGTTCAGATGGATGAGAAAAGCCATTTGCATTCAAAAGCATTGTGAAGAGAAGCTTATTTACCCAATCGAGTTTTAATTATCGATAAACTCGGTCAAAAAATTTTCAGAATTGATTTAGAGGCATTTTCTATTAAAATTATGTAATTGGATATCTTCAATCGTACTACAATCGCCACTTCAGCCCGGAGAACCTAATGTTTCAAACTTTTCAATTCATGATGTCTCTCTAAATATTGCGTTATTGTGATTGCGATAAATCATAGTAAATGAATATGATTAATGAAGAAAAGTGAAATGCTTACGTGAACTTCATTCGCAAATTCATCAATATGGTTCTCATTTTGAAGATAAATGTCAAGAATAAGATTCTCGTTGTAACTAGATGAACTTGAATATGGATCAACAACACTGAATTCAATTCGACTCGGATGTTTAATTCCATAATCGTCATCAAAATGCTCTGGTTTTGAAAATGAAAAGATGCGAGCATTAAAACTTTTTTCATATAATCAATCAATTCCTACTTTTGTAATAATAAGTGATTTTCAATCTATTTATTTTAGTTGACGCTCCCCTCATCATGGTTCCTCTAATGTTTTTATCTTTGACTGCTTTCTGTTATTGAACAGATGAATTTGATTAAACATTCTCATAATGTTGTTAACTTACTTACCCAAACAAGTGAGGAATGATCAAATCGATATAAAATTGAAGGTCCTATTAAGAGTATCAGATTAGTCACAGGTTTCTTGATTCCAGGTAAAGTTTGATCCCAATTATTCTTGTAAGTGAATGGTAAACAATTTGTACCTTTAGATCATGAAAAGTTATAAATCTCATTAAGTGAATAGCGAATATCATGAGTGAATATAATCTTACTTCTTGACAAATTGCAGTCAACAAACAATTTCTCACGAATCGGATCATAATACAGAAAATGATTTTAAAATATATTATTGTATATGCAACAGTATATATTAAATTATATCAAGTTATGAATTCTTACCATGCATAACCAAGCGTTCCTTGTTAAGACTAGAATCAGTATTATAATGAATGTTGTATGAATCTTTTTCACCTGAAATCACAATTTTGCCTCTGATGGATGAACCAGAAGCTGATATTGATTCTTGAATGAAATATTTAGTCCCTGCATTCTGGGACACATAACATTTAAAATTTAAAACAGTTAAAATATTATTAATAGTATCAATTACTAGGTTGCTCAACTTACGGTATCAGTTAAAGTAGCGTTAATGTTAACGCTTCTACTAGGTATACTTAACGGTAAATCCACCAAATCTGTCGTACTTCCTATGTTAATGCGTTGAATTAGAAATTGATTGAATTTACATTTTCAGTCAATCAATGAATATCATTTTCTTACCTGTTTTAATTGTTGAAAGCAAGATGGCTACAGTTGATAATATAAACAGTATTTTGTATCTTTCATTCTGTAGTGAAGATGACATGGTAAGACTTAATGAACAAACACAATCAACTGCAACAATTTCAATTTACTTATGATATTGTAAGAGTGAAAATGATACCAATGTTAATTAAAATCTTTATAATTCATTGACTAACAATAAATAACAATAAACGCCTAAGATTATTCTTTCGATAATGTTTAATCAATAAAAAATTTCACAATAAACAACACCATCAATACAGTTTTTCTTATTTCAATTCTAACCTTTATTTTTCAATTGCATCAACATAGCCAATATTGGATCCACCATAAGTTCTGGATTTTTCATTGCATCAGAATAAATTGCAAGGATGACATTCTAATAATAATCAATTGTTTTTGCTTTACTAGCTCATGGGTTTTTCATGAATAACTTTACAATATTATGAAGTGAAATCCAATTTTTTCTGAATATTTATATCTGCATGATTAAGTTCAATGCTGTCTTTAATGCCATGCAATGCAGTGTATTGCAATGTAATATATAGCAAGTCCAATTTACTTAACACTTAATTGAAAAGCAATATAAATTTCTGAGTAGGATTCCTTTATTAATCAGTTAATTGTCATTTTACAGACTGTTAACATTGATATATTAGACTCACAAAGGAATCTCAAGCCCTTATGCACTGAATCATGAATATCTCATAGCGTAAGCAAGATATAACACTTAACTATGAAACTAAAATTATAATTGTTGAGTGATCTAAGAAGCTAAGGTTTTGAGTGTTCAGTTCCCAATACTTTTGCACTAAAAAGTTCACATGAAGCATTTAATTTTCACTGTAAATTCCATAAAACTGACTTCGTACTGTATCGAGTATATCAAACCATTGTATCTTACAACAGATTGTTAGCCAAGCCACGCTCATTCATTTTTTCATTCAAGAAATCTAGTGTTAAATTTCAAAAATCCATATTAATCGAGTAAGATTTGATTTTATTTTGAAAAATTTATCATCGATGAATTTTTCCAACGTACTTTTCACAGAATTTAGCTGCTTATTTTGCCTTATTTTAATAAACTAATTGCATAAATATTGATTGAGGACCGAAAAATTAGAACCAACTCACCCAAAAAGCTCAAATCACTAACTTCTCAAAAGGGAAGTGCCTTGTACGATCATTTTCCGATTCATTTTCAGATTACAATGCAATATCCTCACTTAAAAGTGTTTAAATATCAATAACCGCACACTAGCGAAACAAAAGCAAAAATACGTGTCTAATTATTTTTTGCCCTCTACAATATAAGCCCGAAAAAAATTGAAAATGATCGTACGAGCAAAGGTACTTCCTTTGTCAGAATCTTGTTTTCATCTTATTATAATATAAGCTATTAAAAATTTAAAGAAAACAAGAACTCGAAATAAATAAATCTTCAATTGAATAACAATATAATGTTGTGTGAAATTGATTGCCAAAGTTGATTACCTGAGTTAACTTTGCATCAAAAAATTAATCAAAGAAACACGGATCTCTAAAGTTTCCAGATGCATTGTAATAATATAATCATTCATGTATGCTGATGATAAACTAAGCATGTACTTGATTATCATAAATTAACAATACTACCTATCATACCACACGTTGACTTTCATCGAGAGAACTAAATATTTTCCTATCAAGATTGATACTATCAATGCAAGCAAATTTGTGGACTTTTGTAATTGTTAGATGAAAGCTATGATTCAACTTAATCAATCAACCCACTGCATGAATCTGTTTACGAATAATTAAATAATCATAGCTATATAATTTTCATTCATCGAAGAATATTAAACAATGCACGGTTGAAATGACGAAAAACTTGTTACGTCGCTCTTTTTGCCTTGGCCACTGGTGCCAGTTTATCCGTGAAAATGCATAGGAATCATTAAAGGTAAGTTGTTAAACCTGCAAAACTGCTGATTAATTTTAAATTTTGACTTTTTATTCTCTGATTCTCTTGAATTTGAAAGCATTCAATAAAAATAATCACTGAATCAGATACATGCGAATATCGATAAAATCACTATCGAAAAACAGTTTTCTTGGACAATCTAAAATAAAGTCAAAGCCCATGATGGAAGTAAGATGTTCAGCGTTTTTATTGATGATAATTCATTTTAAGTAAGATTGATTGAAATCTTCATTTGAATATATTCTAGATATACGCAAATAATTTTCCTGCTAAAATCACATTTACTGAAAAAGATGACGGAATCTTATTTCATTATTGTGAAAGATCATGAATTTTTATTTGCCCATTTTCAGAATGATTAACAAGTGTTTTGAAATAGTTTTATCGAATGCTCTTGCTTTTATTGCATTTTAAGAATAAGATGTTCTTGAATAAGTAGATATGCAGTAGATATCTTTAATAGTTTTCATAATTAAATTAAACGATGATTAACAACGATTTCTTGTCATATGTAAATGTAGTTCAATTGATATTTTAAGCTTGTTCATCTCTTTGTCTTTTCCAAGTGAAACTTTCGTTGGCTTCTGAAGCACTACGCATTTGTTTAGCTTTTGAGTAACCAAAAGGTGTAACGAATCCCAATAAAGCACCGAAAAACAAGAGCATAATTATTTCAAAGGCACCTGATCCACTTGTTCCTTTGAAGACATCAGTCGAACTGGATTCTTTCCTTTTCTTTTTACTCGTTCAACTCGTAGTTTGAACAATCGCCACCTTCAGTGGTCTTAGTATTTGAACTTTTAACTGAAAATTTGGTTAATGAACAAGAACTTTCTGTTCTACTTTTAGGACAATAATTAAATGATTTACACCCAGTGTCACCATCGGACCATCCATGACATAATGATGCACATTGTTCAAAATTTAAATTCATTTCAGTGTAAAGCACATCTGATACGATTTTGTTGCCTGTTTTTTGGTACTGATCAGATACTTTGGCTAAGTTAATTAATGAAAAAGAAATTGATAAACAATAATTGTACAAAAAACTTGCTTCTCATTTATGAGGATACTTACGAAGATATACACTGCATACTTCATCATACTCAGTGGATGAATCTGTGTAAACACCACCAAAACTACAACGATAATTGCAATATTGAAAGGAAAAACAATCAGGAGAAGCATGACAGTATTCTGCACAAGAATAAGCATCTTTGTCGATCGCGGTTGAAGTCTGGGTTTTAAATTTCCTATGAGATACTTCTGAGTAATCATTGAGAACATTCAAAGCGTGAATAGAGCATGATTTGTCTTGTTCAACGTGCGATTCATTAAACGAGTCATCAGTCAATAAGCTGCTGACTCTACATTCACCATTAGAACAGAATGAGAAAGTATTGCATTCAAATTGCTCTGAATTACGACAGGTTCGATAACAATCTGCCAAAGTTTTCGCATCTGGTACAGTCACTGTAAATCGGTCATTGCTTTTTAATTTTGCATCGACTCGTATGTTGGATTGAAAGCGACCAGCCGAGGTATATTGGCTTTTCGTTTTATCGATAACATCAATTAATTTGTAAGACCCAACTTGAAAGAAAAGGTAAAAAAGGACTCTTGATAAGATCTAAGGTTCTGCGTCTCGAGTGAAATATTCCCACTTTTGAGCCGCACAGCCAAAACTGTTACCATTTAATTGAAGAAAAAGCAAACATCCTATTCAGATAACTTGTAGGAAATATTAATTAGTTTTAGATAATGGTTGCATGGCTCCAAATTTCAATATCAGATAATTTTTCCGATTAATAATTGAAAATATTTGCATTGCCAAATCGTACAATTTTTTGAAGTTATAAATATAAATTATAAGTTTAGGACTCAAAAGGGAAGATATCGCACCTGAAAGCTGAATATATTATATAATAGCTAAAGCTGAAAAGCACTTACGATTATATCCTCTAGCCAATCTTAATAACCAGTAAATTTCTCCTATGTTTTGCAAAAAAGTATTGTGAATTTGATCAAGTGGTATTTCTTGGTGAATACGTTGCAAATTATTTAAAGGAAAGTGATAGACGCTGCATGGTTCTCCGATCTTTGTGTCTTCCTTGAGATCATCAAAATCTTTCAAATATCCGCAAGAAGAATCTGATGGTCTATAGATTACTACACTAAAAGAGAAAGGACGAACAAAATTATTAGTTTTGACTGAATCAAAATGGTCAGGTTCCGAGATATACCTGATCCCATCTTGAGATTTTGATAATTTGTCCAGACATTCAGTTTCATTGTTTGCTTTGATTTCATTTTTCATTTTTTTAAATGTATCTGCACTCACAGAAATAATTTTAGAGTTGAAAATATCTGGAAAAGAAAAAAAAGTTCAGCAACTGGACTAAATTGTGTGAATGTAAAATGTCAAATGATAATTACATTGAAAATTAGGTGAATCCAGGAATGTTACTTCCATTACAATTTGTGGGTCATTGAAATTGTGTTCAACGACATCGATTCGAAGTGGACTGATTTTTTCGGATAAAACGATAAAATCCATCAAGTTTTGTTTTACCTCGTAAATAAGTTTCTGTGATAAGTTGTCACCTGAAAGTGGAAAGAAAACAACAGTTATTAGTACTTAAGATCAATTATTAATACATTTCACATTGTAATAAATGACTTTCATTCTCATCAATTTCAATTTTGGAAGACTGGTGATAATCATTTACACAATTATTTAAATAATTCATCAATAATTAGCTTTCAACCTCAGTGAATAAGCCAAATTAAATGTGGCTAACACCAGGTAATAACTAAAATCACTGAATTTAATGAAAGATGTGGTCTTGTCAACCGCATTACAATAACACAAGCTCTGTTTTTGGCAATATTGGCTATTACATACCTTCATGTTGTAATTTGAAGGCGAGGGTTAATTTTTTATCACTGGTCAAGTATTTACAATCTTTTAATGTAAAAACTTCATGTAGTTCATCTTCAAATCCGGCCTTTTCAAAGTTCTTGTACTCTCTTGTAATTTCATCGGTCAAAGCATAAGTTTCTTTCTACAAAAGACAAAAGTATATACAAAAACATTAATCTTTTGCGAATCATAATCATTCAAATGGATACTTACCGATGAATCCAATTTATAGATGAAAATCTTGGTACTGACAAGTGTATAGCCAGGAAATATTTCACTGTCATGCTAAAATTCATTTTGATTGAATATTTCAAGACAAATTGAATGAGAAACAAAAAAAATTGAGTTACACAAGAAAATCATATGTTTGAGTGATAATAACCTTATTTTCACTATTTTCACTACATTTACATCTGTTACAATATTAGTTTATGTTAAAATAGTTTAACGTAATTAACATTATGATAAACTTACCGATTCAGCAAAATATTGATTAATGACAGCTTTGTCGACCTTTTTCCCATTGAAATTAAAATCATATTTGAATGTTTCCCATGCGTCTACGGAAAGTCCAGATCGATGCTCCTAAGAAAATATGAAATAAGTACTGGAGAACAGTTATTGCTGATTTACATTTAATCTTGGTCCATCCAATTAACTATTAAATTCTTGGCAACTGCATGCAGAGTAAAATGCCTTCAATCGAAACTTCATCAAATTACCAAATCGGATACATCAGTAATAAAGGTTCAAACTTTAAAGCTACATTCCCATTATCTGGCACATCACTGTAAACCTTTTTCTATTATTAAGACATTTTATTATCCTTGATGTTTGAGATTCATTACACTTGCTATGAGATCCCAGCTGAGGATTAACAGTGAAATAGCTAATTTTTATTATACTATTCATCGAGCAGCGCATTCAATGATTTTAAATGATCTTCTTTAATAGATCGCATTCGACCGTAAATGTTATTTTAATATGATTCTTTTATTAATATTTACGAAATAAATGAACTAAGTCAGTTGGTAATTGAAGAAATTCAAATTAACTAAGCAGATAAAAGTAGGTTTAAAATAAATCGATAAAAGCAAAAAAAACTGGAAAAACCTGCCAAAAGTAGCAAAAAAATTTGCTCGAAAATTGATCGCGCTTATCCAGCTACAGCAGTAGTTTACTGTAGTTAACCATTTCTTGCATTTTGTTCACTAATCGACTTTAGTCGGCTAATAGATTGTTTAGTGATGGTGTGGCTGGTGGCTAACTATGATATTAATTATTTAAATTCATGATTAAACTCCCCTTAAATAATTAAATAGATCATGAATAAAATTTCATGCACAAAATTATGAAAATTTGTTGATTACTTACTAAGTTGAACTTTCCAAGATACTTATAACCAGCATTAACAAGGAAAAGATTATCTAAATGGAAGTAACCATAAGGATAGATTCCAGGTGAATTTTTATCTGCAGGTAATATGCTACAGGATCCACCTTTTCCAAAGAGGAAAGAAACTCCGAGGTTATAATCATAAATAGCTTCAGTTGTTACGCCAAGAACATTTGATTTTATTCGTAATATGTTATGATTTCCTGATGCATGAATCTGAAAATGAAATGAAAATAGATGTAAAATGTGAAATACTTAACACCAAGTAAACTAACCTCACTGAATGTCCGAGAAGTGGTTGAACCTTTAATGTACTCGTACATAGTGTAATGCATATAATCAGTTCTCAACTCCGGGAATCTAGGGTGCCATGTTGACAAGTAATGTGGGCATTCAATTCCAGGCAAAGGCTGAGGTTAAGAGTCAAATGTGTAAATGAGAAAATCTTTTAAATTTTCAATATTTAAAATGGCATTTGTTTTGTTTTGAGAAAAGCACAAAATTCAATTCTATTAGTTGAGAAATGCATATATTTCATTTTTGAATAATTTTGATACATAAATATTAATGATAATAATAGATCTTCCATAAGCAAACTCTTCAATTCATGATGCCTCTCAAAATATTGCGTTATTGTGATTGCGATAAATCATAGTAAATGAATATGAATAATGAAGAAAAGTGAAATACTTACATGAACTTCATTCGCAAATTCATCAATATGGTTCTCATTTTGAAGATAAATGTCAAGAATAAGATTCTCTTTGTAGCTGATTGAAGTTGAATATGGATCATTACCTTTAAATTCGATTCGACTTGGATGTTTGATTCCAAAATCATCATCGAAATGCTCTATGAAAATGAAAAGGAAGAGAATGGTTGAGCTTGGTTCATCTAACCAATTCAACTAATCTGATCAATGAATTCCTACTAACTTTTGTAATAATAAGTGATTCTGAATCTTCCATTTATTTCAGTTGTCGCCCCCTTCATCAGGGTCCCTCTTATGTTTTTATCTTCGACTGATTTCTGTTGTTAGACAAATAAATTTGATTAAACATTCTCATAATGTTGTTGAAATACTTACCCAAACAAGTGAGGAATGATCAAATCGATATAAAAGTGAAGGTCCCATTAAGAGTATCAGATTAGTCACAGGTTTCTTGATTCCAGGTAAAGTTTGATCCCAGTTATTCTTGAAAGTAAATAGTATACAATTTGTACCTTATATCATGAAAAAAGTAACAATTAATTTCATAGCGAATTTTATGACTGAATATAATCGCATCTCTTAACAAATTGCAATCAGCAAACAATTTTCTTACGAATCTAAGCATATCCCCATCCTTTCATTTCATCAGTTCTTATGTTCAACACTCACCGTGATAAACCAATCGTTCATTGTTAAAAAACGAAGCAACATTATAATAGATGTTGTAGGAATCTTTTTCGCCTGAGATCACAATTCTACCTTTGATGGTTTGACCAGAAGCTGATATAAATTCTTGGATGAAATATTTATTGCCAGCATTCTGAAACGAATAACATTAAGAGCTAAAATAGTTACAATTGGTTGGTTGTTCAACTTACGATATCAGTTAATGTAGCATTAATATTAGCACTTTTGCTACTTATGCTTAATGGTAAATCCACCAAATCTGTAGCACTTCCTGTGTTCGTTAGTAAATGAATTAGAAATTGATTGAATTTATATTTTTAGCCAATTAATGGATATCTTTTTCTTACCTATTTTAATTGTTGAAAGTAAAATGACTTCAATTGAAAATATAAACAGCATTTTGTTTCTTTCGCTCAGCAGTGAAGATGACATGTTAAGACTAGTGTTGTATTGTTCCAATATTTTCAAGGAACAAGAACAACGAGAAGAACAATTTCTTCGGAACAAGAACAAAAAATGTTGTTCCTAGTTCTTAAAATCGAGAACAAGAACAAGAACAAGAACAGTACAAATCGGAACAAAACAACGGAACAGAACAAAGAACAATTGTTCCTGGCGCTGGAGAACAAGAACAATACAACACTAGTTAAGACTTAATGAACAAACACAATCAACTGTAACAATTTCAATTTACTTATGATATTGCAAACGTTTTGAAAATGATGCAAATGTTAATTGAACTAATCTTTTAAATTCATTGACTAACAAACAACATAAATAACAATAAACGCCTAAGAGGATTCTTTTGATTATATTTAATCAATAAATAATTTAATAATAATCAACAAGTTTCAGCATCCGGATCAGCATTAGCCAGTATTGGATCCATTATTAGATCTAGATTTTTCATTGCATCAAAATATTAATAGCAAGAATGATATCCTAATAATTTTCGATTGTACTTTCATTTGCGCCAACATGCAGCTTAAATTTACCGAAATGAGCAATCGGAATATTTAAATTGTTTGATTAAATTCAATGCTATCCTTAATGCCATTCAACACAGTGTATATAACTTATTTGAATCTAAGATGTTTGAATGTTCACTGCCCAAAACTTTTGCACGAACTAGTTTACTGTACATAAAGCATTCAATTTTTACCGTGAATTCCAGCACGCTGGCGCTGTACTTTATCTTATATATCAAATTTTTGTATCTTACAACAGTATAACTCGTCAGCAAAGTCACGCTATTCAGTTTCTTTAATGACGAAATAAATTGGAAAATATAATTTTGTGTCAAATTGATTGCTGAAAGTTGATTACTGAATTAAGATTGCATCAAAAAACTAATCAAAGAAACACGGATCTCTGAAGTTTCCGGATCTTGTGCAATAATATAATCATATATTAATTATCGGAGCGTAGTGAAACGAAGTGGAGATTTAGACTCAGCTTAGCCATTTTGAAAATCCACTTTTTGATTTCTTTTTTCACGGCTACAGCCTAAACGACTTATCTAAATATGTTCAAACTTTATATAGAATGTATGGAACTTGTGAAGATGTGCAGAAAAGACTTTGGAGGCCATCGGAGGTCATTTGTCGGGACTTTGACCTTTGACCTCTAGAGGTCATTTGAAGGTCATTTGAAATTTTTCAATGAATTTTCATACATCTTGCAAAGATTCGACATTATATCTGTGATAGTAATCGTAATATGAGCCAAAATACGAAAAAAAGTTTGAGAGCCATGCGATGTCTATTTTTTGTGAACCTAATATCTCATGATCGGATATACTTCTAAACTTAGTATTTGTAAACTGATTGTTTCAGGGCATTTTGCAGAGCTGGAAACAAAATTAATTACGGCCATCGAAGGTCATTTTTGATAATTCGACCTTTGCACTTAAGAGATCATCTAAAGATATTTTGAGAATTCACCATGTATTTTGATAACTCTCTTACAATTTTAACATCGTAGCTCTAATATAAACCGCAATTGGAAACGGAACCTGACTCAACCTGACACCGTTAGAAGCAGATTTCACAGCCCAGCATGGAGCAATAAACTGTTCATAATTCGTAATGTTACAAATGTTTGCAAAGATTTTGTAGACAGCTATTTTTTAGTTTCTAATCTTTTGAACAAGATTTCGGATGAAAGTAAATGCAAAAAAATGGTCGGTACTGGATGGTGTAGGAACAGTGATGACGTTGACTCAGATACATTTATTTCTACAGTAAAGTACCAGATGATGTCACTGAATTAATCAATGGCCCCTCAAACCCTTTGTTGACATTCCTTATCAAGAAAGTTTTTGTTGGAATGATTAGAATTTTTTCAAGAAATTGAATATCCTTGCGAATTTCAACTTGCTTTGGAGCTTGTTGATGTTAATTGCAAGCTTTTCTGACACTTAGTTTAAATCCTGTAGTTGTTTTCGATTAATTTATCATGATATGCTCATTGAATAGCTTTTGCTGTAAGCAAATAAGCTATTTCACTGGAGTGACACTATCTGGTACTTTACCGTAGATCTTTTCTCGATTTTTTATTCCAGTCAATGGGCTCATTGAATCTAGATAAAAATACGTCAGCTTCAATTCGTTACTAACGCTCCGATTTCGACGAGCGAACGTCTGACCTAGTGATAAACTAACCTTGTACTTGATAATCATAAAATTAACAATACAGCTTACTTTATACCACACGTTGACTTTGATTGAGAGAACGAAATATTTTAATATCAAAATTGATACTACATTATTGGCAATAATGATAGCGACATCATGTTTTTCTTGAGAAAAAAGGATTGTGAGAGACTTATAAGGATTTTAAAGGTTCCTGAAGGCTTCAGAGGATAATCTGTCAGCCATATGCTGAAATTGACTTAAAAATTTGCAGACAGGATTAACTAATTAAGAAAATTAACTCGGGCGGTAGGCAAAAAAGATAGGGACACTATTCCAATCGACTATTTTCTCAGGAATTTTGGCCTAAATCAGGGTATAAAATGAATGCTCAATGCAAACAAATTTGTGGAATTTTGCAAAGTTTCTTGTTTATCACTGTTGCATGAAACATACGATTAACTGAAAGACACCCACTTCATGGAATGGTTTTGTTGGATTGTCAACAATACAAAAACTTGCGAATAATTGAATAATCATAGTTATAACTCAAACTAATAATTCAAACTCTTACGTAGATGGGGGAGGCGACCAGTAATAACATCTTCTTGTTTTGCAGAAATTTTTGGCACTTTTTTTCTTTTCTTGATATTAATCTTTAACTTTGTAACAACTTTCTTGGCAGTGTGGTCATCAATATTTAATTTCCGTCCAATAGCTCTAAATCCCGGGAAAACTTTGTTATCTGTCATGGCCAATACTTTTTTTTTCACTTGTGATGTAACTTTCAGCGAGGGTCGACCAGCATAATTTTTCATGAAATTTTCAGGATCATTTACCAGTTGAAGGTAATAGCGATTAGCTGAAGTTCGAGGCACACCAATATCACAAAATTTCCGAACCATTTCGGCTCTAGAGCACTTTTCATTATTGAGAAAAAAAATCTTTTGCACTGCTGATTTTAAACACCCTGAACTCATGTTGATTGCTTACTAAATAATTGACCGATTTTGTTGAAATTTATATTGACCAGAGGTCTATGCTTCTTAATCATTTCCTAGAAATTTCAAGCCTTCAGGTCATATGGTTCCTGAGAAAAAAGGATTTGCCTAATCTGTACCAAAATTTCTCCGCACAGGTTAGTATTATCATTCGTCAAATTTAAACAGTTTACAATTAAAATGGTTCGATAAACTTTTTCGTTGCCTTTTATCTTGTTTGCTGCCAGTTCATTCAATTAAATGATGGTTAAAATTTTTTATACAGTTTTATTATGCTGTCAAAAAGCTGATTTTAGTGAAAATATAATATTTTCTTTCGATTGTTACCGAGGTAACAACAGTCTTGCTGAAGGAGCTTTATATTCAACTTTCTAAGCGCTGACACCTTTACAACCACCAAGAGCTCGGTTCTTTTAACGCATATCGAATTCATTGTATTCAGTCGAAAGAAATTTGTAATCAGTTATGATCTATTAGATGTGATCCATCGTAGTTATAATTATAATCAATAATCTACTAAAAATTTATTTCTGACCAGCAAACATACCAGTTTTGAACCATTTAAACGATTGTTTAGTTTACATAGTTTGCCATCGCAGCGTTAAGCATCGTCAGTTGTGAAATCTTTGGGCTGGCCTAGTTATTTTTATGATCTTTCTTGGAATCTGTGTTAAAAAATTTGGGATTAATACATTGTATTAATAAAATGTGAATTTAAAATGTTTAATTGTTTTCAGAATTAAGGTGAACAGAAATTAAGTTCACCAAGTATTTCATGTCCTGCGGGATGGAAATAGAATCAATTAATATTCTCAGCTTCTCTCTGTCAATATCTCTCTTTTGCAACCATCATCGTAGTTTTGAAACTCACAAATAATAAGTAAATCGATTTTCAAAAAGAGTCGATTAAAATTTTGTTTAAAGTTTAACATGGCACATCTATGGGAGATTGAATAAACTTGATTATTTTTGTATTGATCTGCGTGTCATCTCCCAGAACTATGACCATACAGCATTTAAAGTATTGTAAATGTATTGTATGTAACATTTTAAAGCCATTTGATAAAATTAATAATAATCATATAGCGGACAATATCCCATTGAATTAATTAAATTTAGTTAAACTAATAATTAAATAAATACTATGTCCAAGCAATAGTTCCAGTCATTTTCAAGTTACCACTTTGGAGTCATAACACCACTCAACTCAATAATCCTTTAGTTAAATTAAAGTGTTAGTTTTGCCCTTCTGACCATTGTTAAGAATAAGAAAAATAAATTCATTTCAGTGTAAAGCACATCTGATACGATTTTGTTGCCCGTTTTTTGGTACTTTTCAGATACTTTGGCTAATTGAATTAAGAGTAAGACATTAATAATCAACAAAATCTTGTTACTCATTTCTAAGGATACTTACGAAGATATATACTGCATTCTTCATCATATTCAGTAGATGAATCTGTATAAAAAGTACCAAAACTACATTGATAATCACACCATTGGAATGAAAGACAATCAGGTGAAGCATGACAAGACTCTGCACAAGAATCAACACTTTTGTCCACTGCGACTGAAGTCTGCGTTTTAAATTTTCTTTGAGGTACTTTCGCGTAATCATGGACAACATTCAAAGTGTAAATAGAACATGATTTGTCTTGTTCAACGTGCGATTCATTATAAGAGCCTAGAGTCAATAAGCTGCTAACTCTACAGTCACCATACTGACAGTATGAGTAAGTATTGCATTTAAAAAGCTCTGAATTGTGACAGATTCGATAACAATCATCTAAAGTTTTTACATCTGGTAACGTCACTGTAACCTGATTACTGATTTTTAATTTTGCATCAGCTCTAATTCTGTATGGAAAGCGACTAGCCGAGGCATCTTTGTTTTCCGTTTTATCGATAATATCAATTAATTCATAAGAATACACTAGAAAGAAAAGGTTGAAAAAGAAATTTTGATAAGATCAAGTTTCTAGGTTTAGAGCGAATTATTCCCACTTTTGAACCGCACAACTACAATAAGTACCATATACATGAAATGGAGAAAATTCGAACATTCATTCGGTTAACTCAGGAAATCACGGCAGTTTTAAGCCAACTATTATACACCTCTAAACTTCACTCAGATGACTTTTTTCCGTAAAAAACCAAAAAAAACATCTACATTACCGAATGGAACTCGATTATAATTCGTTGAACCTGTAACTATAACTTATAACTAGTTAAGCACTCAAAAGTGGAAATATTGCCCCTGTACGCTCAGTAAAGCTGCGGCTAACAAGGGAAGGGACCTTCCTGGTACGATTTGATTCGAGAAATTTCATGATGAATCGATGGAAATAAGTTATTGTAAAAAAGATGTTTGGTGAAGTGTTAAGACCTGCAAATTTTTTCTTCAATTTTTATTTCAATTTCAAGTTAAACAGACCTATTGTAATGAACTGAAACTATGAAAAATTGCCATTCTCAAGTTGAGACTAAAATTCAATTTGTTTAATTTGTTGTGCAATGTCTTTATTTTTGTCATTTTCAATTCATTAAAATAGGTCTGATTAGACTTAAAATTGGATTTCCCAAATTAAATCGTACCAGGAGGGTCCCTTCCCTATTAAGAAGTATTATTACTTACGATAAGATCCAATGAACAAGCCGTGACTTTTTACTAATAAGTTTTGCAAATAAGTATTGTGAATCTGATCAAGTGATAACTCTTGGTCAATGCGTTGCAAATTATGTAAAGGAAAGTGATAGACGCTGCATGGTTCTCCAGTTTTCGTATCTTCCTTGAGATCTTCAAACTTTGTCAAATATCCACAGGAAGAATCTGATGGTCTATAAATTATTACACTAAATGAGAAAAGAAAAACAAAATTATTAGTTTTCAAATGAATCAAAATATTTAGTTCTTGCGAGATTGTTGTTCTTGAGATATATACCTGATATATTCCTTGATTTTTGATAATTTGTGCACACAATCAAAACCATAGTTTGTTTTTATTGGTTTCATCTTTTCAAATGTATCTGCACTGACAGACATAGTTTTAGTATTGAAAATATCTGGAAAACAGAAAAATTGCATTAAATTGCATGAATATAAAATTTCAAATGATAGTTACATTGGAAATCAGGTGAATCCAGGAATGTTACTTCTATTCCAATTTGTGCGTCATTTAAATTATATTGAACGGTATCGATTCGAAGTGGACTGATATTTCGGGGAAAATGATATAATACATGAAGTCTTGTATCAAAGCGTAAACATGATTTTTGGCGAGTTCTTGTGAAGATTGCTTGTCTGAAAGTGGAAAAGAAAATTATCAGTGCCAAGATCAATTTTGTAAGTCTGTTCATAAATCATATGCACAATATTTTAAAAAATCACCAATATTTAGTTCTTCATCTTCAGTGAACAAGTCATATTAAAGCATCAGATCTATGGGTTACACTAGTTAAAACATGTCCAAACGTTGAATATAATCACCTACCTTTACGTTGTATTACGAAGGCGAGGGTTAATTTTTTATTACTAGACAAGTATTTACACTCTTTTATTGTAAAAATTTCATGAAGTTCATCTTCAAATCCAGCCTGTTCAAAATTCATGTAATCTCTTGTAATTTCATCCGTCAAAGTAAAAATTTTTTTCTAGCAAAAGACAAAAATATGGAAAGAAACATTAATCTCATCTGAATTATAATCATTTAAATGAATACTTACCGATGAATCCGATTTATAGATCGCAAGTGTGGTACTGACAAGTGTATAGTACCTATCAAATATTTTATTGTCTTCCTAAAAGCCATTTTGATTGAATATTTCAACACAAATTAAATGAGAAATGAATAATTGAGTTACACAAGAAAATCATATGTTTGAGTGATAATAACCTTATTTTCACTATTTTCACTACATTTACATTTTAAAATTACTTACCGATTTAGCAAAATAATGAGCAATGACAGCTTTGTCGGCCTTTTTCCCATTGATATTAACATTGTATTCGATCGCTTCCCATGCGTCTACGGGAAATCCAGATCGATGTTCCTGCGAAAATATTCAAAAAAGAACAGAACAGTTATTTTTAACTTTACATTTAATCTTGCTCTATTCAACTACCAAAATGCTGAAGTGGTTACTTCATACAGAGCATAATCCAATTCAAATTGCAACTTGACCAAAGAACCAATTCGGGTACATCGGTAATAGTGGTCTAAAAGCTATATCTAAATGTCTAATTTTTTTATTCTCTTCGATGTTTGAGATTCGATCAAAGAGTAAAACAACTATATTACTCTTTGGATTCGATGCACTTGCAATGAGATCACAGATGGTGAGTTACTGTGAAATAGCTTATTAATAGCACGCTTAAAATAGCGTCTAAAAAACAAGAGATTGCCTTATAAATAGACGAAACTAGAGAGACTCTCTAAGTGAGTGATAACTGTAAATGAGACAAATTAATTTGAGTTGTTCTTGCTTTTTGATATCGAAAATAACCATCAATGAAATTTAGATTTTTATTCAATTTTTTCAGCTACTGGTTCAATGAATACATCCTTGTGCATAATGAAGGTTAGGTTTTCATCTGCATTTTCATCATGAATTTTCATCCATAAAATTTTTGATTACTTACTAAGTTGAGCTTTCCAAGATACTCGAAAATAAAATCAAAAAGGAAAAGGTTGTCCAAATTGAAGTAACCATGAGAACTGATTCCAGGTGAATCTAAATCTACAGATGATACTCTACAGGATCCACTCTCCTGAAGTAAGAAAGAAACTCCAAGTTTATAATCATAAATAGCTTCAGTTGTCACACCAAGAAGAGTTGATTTTATTCGTAATAATTTGTTCTTTCCTGATGCATGAATCTGAAAATGAAACGAAAATGAATATAAAAATGGAAATAGTTGAACGAATAAACTAACCTCACTAAATGTTCGAGAAGTAGTTGAACCTTTAATGTACTCGTACATGGTAATGTACATAATCAGCTTTCAATGCAGGTATGAAAGTATGCGTGGTGAAGTAATATGGGCATCCAATTCCAGGTAAAGGCTAAAGTTAAGAGTCAAAAATATGTAAATCCGAGAATCTTGAAATTCTTACGAGTATTGTGAAGGCTTCTGTTTAGTAATAATTCAAGATAAAAAATTCAATAGACATGCACGTAAAGGTGATGCTCTATTGCAAATTGAGCATTATTAGTGTGAATAAAAAAGGAAAGTGAAATACTTACTTGAACTTCATTCGCAATTTTATAATAATAGTTTTCATCTTGAAGATAAATATCAAGAACAAGATTCTCTACGTAACTGTATGGAGTTGAATATGGATCATTACCACTGAATTCAATTTGACTTGGATGTTTAATTCCATAATCTTCATCAAAATGCTCTATGCAAATGAAAAGGATGAGAATGGTTAAACTTGGTTCATCATTCAATTAATGTCTTTATTACTCACTTTTGTAATAATAACGGATACCCAATCTTCTATTTATTTCAGTTCTTGCCCCCTTCATCATGGTTCCTCTTATGCTTTTAGCTGCAACTGATGTCTGTTGTTCAACAAATGAATTTGATTAAACATTCTCATAATTTTGTTGGAATGCCAAGGGTTAGCAAAAAGATGGTATTATTTTCAAAATGAAACAACATGTTAGATTTTGATTTTTTGAATTAGATTTTTTTATAAAATGAAAATTCAGTCTAATATCTTTTATCTAGTACGATAATCGTAGTTCTGGGACACTTAGATAGCGCGCAGATCAGTTTTAAAAAAAAGTCGATGGAAAATAGTTTTTGAAACCTATGGGAAAATTAACATGTCAAGTTTTTCCGATTTCCCATAGAAGCGCCTAGTTAAACTCTAAAAAACTTTTTTCATCGACTCTTTTTAAAAATCGATTTGTGCGCTATCTGTCTGTTCCAAAATTACGACCATAGAGAAAAATCAAAGATAAAAGATTCAATTTTCACTTATAAAATAAATCTGATTAAAAGAGCAGAATCTGAGATTTTATTTAATTTTGAAATTGGTTCCATTATTTCCTTACCCTTGGTACTTACCCAAACAAGTGATGAATGACCAAGTCGATATAAAATTGAAGGTCCCATTAAGAGTACCAGATTAGTTACAGGTTTCTTGATTCCTGGTAGAGTTTGATCCCAATTATTCTTGAAAGTAAATGGTAAACAATTTGTGCCTTTAAATCACGGAATAAGTAAGAATCATTATTAAATTAGTTTCATAGCGAATTTTATGAGTGAATATAATCTTATTTCTCGACAAATTGCAATCAGCAAACAATTTTCTCACGAATCAGAACATGTCGCAAGAGTATGTTTGCATTTATAATTTCATTATTTCTAATTGTTAAACTCTTAATCATGAATAACCAGGCGGTTCTTGTTAAGATTAGAATCAGTACTATAATAGATGTTAAAGGAATCCTTTCCATCTGAGATCACAATTTTGCCTCTGAAGGTCGAACCAGAAGCTGATATTGATTCTTGAATGAAATATTTAGTGCCTCCATCCTAATATGAAGCATAGCATTAAGAGTTAAAATAGTGTCAATTGGTTGGTTGTTCAACTTACGGAATCGGTTAAAGTAGCGTTAATGTTAACGCTTTTGCTATGCATGCTCAATGGTAGATCCAGCAAATCTGTAGCACTTCCTATGTTCGTTAGTAGTTGAATTTATAATTGATTGAGTTTATGTTTTCATCAATTAATGAATATTTTTTTCTTACCTTTTTTAATTGTTGGAAGTAAAATGACTAGAATGGATGTTAACAGCATTCTGTATCTTTCATTTTGCAGTGAAGATGACATGGTAAGACTTAATTAACAAACACAATCAATTGTAACAATTTCAATGTACTTATGATATTTTACGTTAGAAAATGATACGATTTTAATTGAAATCTTCTCTTATATTCATTGTCAAATATGCAATTGTAAAATTCCAATAAACGCCTTAGATTATGCGTTTGATTATATTTAATCATATTTGGTTTTGCCTCGAAACACTTCTAATAACCGCTTCCGAATATCGACTCTTAATTTTCGCCTCTAACCTTCCATCCAGTTATGATGTTTCTCTAAAATTTTGTTGCTTTGTTATCGTACTTCAACTTCTTATTGATCATTCTGAAACTGATAATTTCTTCCTTTATTCATGATGAATGCTACTTTTCGATCTTTTAAGTCTCGCATCTGATTTGGGTATATTGAGTACCCAGTTAATTCACTGGAACTTTATCGAGTCTATCAAGTTTATCGTTCTATTTTTATTGAATTTAACTTCATGATACATAATAGCTACATTAAAGAGTTATACATAGCATCAAGGACACTATTGAATTCTGATTTATTCATTGATTAAATGTTATTTTTATCAGTTTATGTTATTTTAGTTATAAATTGCTATTGCACTCAACTGAAACCAAATTTGACCAATTAGTTTTGATTTAATTCAAGTAAACATTTGATTTTGTTTTGTCTTTAGAAGATCAATTCAGAAAATTCAGCCCGTCATTACGGAAATAAGTATTTAACCAAATCGTACCCTTCATCATACGTATTTTATTCATCATAATAATATTCTTTTCCCCACCTTAGTGTTTAGTGTTAGTATTTTGAAATAAATTCAATGGACATTTCAAAGCTGCTGCTCATTTTGTCTTTTCCAGGTGAAATCATAATTGACCTTTGAAGCATCATGCATCCTCTTAATCTTTGAGTAAGCAAAAGGAGCCATGAATCCCAATAAAGCACCGACAAACACGAACATCATTATTATACCAAAAGCAGCCAATTTCGATGTTCCTTTAACCACTTTATTTGAACCGCGTTCAGCGCTTTTCTTTCCATTCGATTCCACTTTTAACTCGTAATTTGAACAATGGCCCCCATCAGTGGTATTGGTATAAGGACTTTTAACTGAGAAATGAGTCAATGAACAAGAACTTTCTGTTCTACTTTTAGGGCAGTAATTAAATGATTTACATCCCATTTCATCGCCATCAGATAACTCATAACAAAATGAAGCACATTGATCTAAGGTTAGTTTGGTTTCGGTCATCATTACATCTGATACTATTTTGTTGCCTGTTTTTTGGTATCTTTCAGATACTTTGGCTAAATGGATTACCAAGAAAGAATAAAATGAAATGGACTCATGACTTGTTACTTGGATTACTTGTAAGAATACTTACGAGTGTATATCATGCATTCCTCATCATATTCAGTAGCTTCATCTGTATATAATGAATCGCCAAAACTACAATAGCCATAACAGTATTGAAACGATTTACATTCGGATGAGGTATGACAGGCCTTTGCACAAGAATGCACAGAATCTTGTTCAATTGCGGTTGATTGCTGAGTCTTAAATTTTCTGTTGGACTTTCTTGAATAATTGTCGAGTACACTCATAGAATAAATTCCACATTTTGGGTCATTTTCAATCGGCTCACCCCGACTAGCCATTTCAGAAACCTGCAAGCTGCTTACTCTACAGTCAATTTTACCATCAGTGCTGCAGAATGAAAAAGTAGTGCATGAAACTTGAGCTGAATCATGGCAGTTTCGGTAACAATCAGCAAAAGTTTTTGCATCTGGAACAGCCAAAGTGAATTGATCATCGATTTTCAACTTTGCATTTTGTCTGATTTGATAAGTAATATCGTCATTGGAGCCAGTTTCTTTTTTAGTTACGTCGATCACATCAATGATCTCAAATTGTGTGTCTTTTGAAGAAAGAATAAGAATAATTATCAGTTAAGCAATGTAACAAGATGATAAGTACTTACCAAATTTTCCGTTAAACGCTTGGAATTTCATACCAACCTTTTGCAAGTATGCACCATGAACCTGGTCAAGTGTTAACTCTTGTTTAATTCGTTGCAAATTGTTCAGTGGAAAGAAATAGACACTGCATGGTTGTCCATGTTTAGCATCTTCCTTGAGAAGAGTGCGACTATTCAAAGATCCACAGACGCCATCCGAAGGTCTATAAATGGCAACCCTAATTACGAAAAGGAAAAGAATTTTTATAAATTGAATGTAAATGTGAATGTAGTCAAGAAATAATATATACTTGATTATATTTTTATATTTTGATAATTTTTCTAAGCATTCGTCTCCATTGTTAGCCTTAGTTTTCATCATCTCTGCGAATGTCTCTTCACTGAGAGACATAGTTTTAGAGTTGAAAATGTCTGGAAAAGAAAATAAGGTTTAATAATCAAATTCGATGGCACACAAGCGAGGCCAAAACACAGAAATGAACTTACATTCCAAATGCGGTAGATCGAGAAATGTCACTTCCATTTCAACTTTTGTGTCAGTAAAGCTATATTGGATATCAGCGATTCGCAGTACACTGACTGGTTCAAGTGCAAGGAGAAACATGAGGAATTTTCCTCTCAGCAAGTAAACACGATCCTCCGCGTGTCTGATGCAAGCATTGTATTTACGATCCAAAGCTAGAGAAGCAAATAAAATATGATTACTATCATTTCAAATGCCTTGTTTCAGCTCATTTAATCGTTAGTCGTCAAAGCTTTGCACAATCAGGAGTTTGCCTGTTAAGTCTGTATTGCAGGCATATATTGTATTTAATGATAGACGGTTTGAAATGATCATTGATAACATACAAAGACAACATAAAATTTCAACTACTCGCGTTGGGTTTCAACGAAAAGTTTAGAAAAGGATGAAGACCAAAAGAATAGGGAAAATTGCCTATGATTAAAATTTTTTTTGAATAATATTTTCTAATGTATTTTCATACGCTGATTCCATAAATCAAATTCATTTTTCGATCAGACTTATACTTTTTTAGATATCAAAGAAAAATAACTGAAATATTGTAGAAACGATAGAGTTCAAGTAGAAGTTTGTTCCGACCTAAAACAAAAGGGAATCTACTTATTTTTATATGCTTAATCTTGCCCTATCATAAGAATCGGATATTTTGATGAGCTGGATAGATCGCATGCATTTCGACACTCGTTTCGATACAAAATCCTTAACCTAGTCTTTATCCAAGATAAGATAAGAATTTTCATGTGTGTTTTTTAATGGAGAATTCATATATAGCATTCTGATATAATATTTTGAAGCGCTGCATGATTCCATTTCAGTTTATTTGCGTTTCTTATTTCCAACTTTGTTATCAGTTTTTTATCCAAGATAAGATAAGATTTTTTAGATACTTTTTTTGATGGAGATTCCATATATAACATTCTGATATAATATTTCGAAACGCTGCATACTTCTATCTCAGTTTATTCGAGTTTCTTATTTCCAACTTTGTTATCAGTTTTTTATCCAAGATAAGATAAGATTTTTTAGATACTTTTTTTGATGGAGATTCCATATATAACATTCTGATATAATATTTTGAAGCGCTGCATGATTCTATCTCAGTTTATTAGTGTTTCTTATTTCCAACTTTGTTATCAATTTTTTATGCAAGATAAGATAAGATTTTTTAGATACTTTTTTTGATAGAGATTCCATATATAACATTCTGATATAACATTTTGAAGCGCTGCATGATTCTATCTCAGTTTATTCGTGTTTCTTATTTCCAACTTTGTTATCAGTTTTTTATCCAAGATAAGATAAGATTTTTTAGATACTTTTTTTGATGGAGATTCCATATATAACATTCTGATATAATATTTCGAAACGCTGCATACTTCTATCTCAGTTTATTCGAGTTTCTTATTTCCAACTTTGTTATCAATTTTTTATGCAAGATAAGATAAGATTTTTTAGATACTTTTTTTGATAGAGATTCCATATATAACATTCTGATATAACATTTTGAAGCGCTGCATGATTCTATCTCAGTTTATTCGTGTTTCTTATTTCCAACTTTGTTATCAGTTTTTTATCCAAGATAAGATAAGATTTTTTAGATACTTTTTTTGATGGAGATTCCATATATAACATTCTGATATAATATTTCGAAACGCTGCATACTTCTATCTCAGTTTATTCGAGTTTCTTATTTCCAACTTTGTTATCAGTTTTTTATCCAAGATAAGATAAGATTTTTTAGATACTTTTTTTGATGGAGATTCCATATATAACATTCTGATATAATATTTTGAAGCGCTGCATGATTCCATTTCAGTTTATTTGCGTTTCTTATTTACAACTTTGTTATCAGTTTTTTATCCAAGATAAGATAAGATTTTTCATGTGTGTTTTTTAATGGAGAATTCATATATAACATTCTGATATAATATTTTATATATTAACCAGTATAAAAAACTACCCAAGACTCACAAAAGGAACTACCTTCACGTGGTGGGAGTTGTTTTGACTAAAGTTCCTCATATAAAATCGTATTCATATTAAGTTCAACTTCATTTCGCTATACTGATTGTTTTATTCACTCCCATATCAGTCTTCTAATTTCATTTCAATATTCAATTTTATTTCAATCTTTCAACTTCATTTCAGTCTTACAATTTCATTCAGTCTTTCAATTTCATTTCAGTTTTCAATTCAAATCTAGATTTCAATTCCGATTTGCTTGCAATTTTAATACAAGCTCAAAATAATGGAAGAAGAGAAAAAAAATAAAAAAAAGCTTTGGCGCGCCAAGCAAAGAGAAAGGAAAAAGGAGAGAGATAAAGATGTTAAAGCAAACTTACTTGAAAAGGGCGAAGCGGATCCCTATTTCGCTAAAAATATGGAGCGGAAAGCCCGAAAAGAGAAGAACAGAGCAGCAAAAAAGTTTAAAGAAAGCTTAGAAATGTTTAAACAGCATTCGTCTGTTGAGGGCTACAAGGCTGAAGATACAGCATTAGGCCGAATCGCTGCTGAGTCCCTGAAAAAAGAGGCCATCAGCGATTTTCAAAAGGCCCAGGAAACCCTAGCTGTTGCTGCAACTCTGAAAGGGAAGGAAGCTGATGAGCCTGGAAGTGCCCATAGTGAACTTTTAAAACATATTTATCAATAACTTCAATCATGGTTATTGATCTCAATCTTGAATTGTGAATCAGCTTTTTTGTGCTACTTCAAAATCAAGATCAATAATCAGGATTGAAGTTATTGGTAACTTAAACTGGAGGCGAGGGTAACCAGTATAAAAAACTACCCAAGACTCACAAAAGGAACTACCTTCACGTGGTGTGAGTTGTTTCGACTGAAGTTCCCGATGGTATGGTTTGTTATTTGTTTTTCTTAGCAGAAATATGTTTAAATGCAATAATCAATCTCCCTTTCAGCTAAGATTGAAATTCAGAAGTCATTATCTCGAATGATCATGAATATACTCTATAAAAATAATTCAAATGCGCTTCTGAAAAAGTTTGAATTCAGACGATATTATCTCGAAAAGTATAGGTCATAAAATAAAATAGATTCAATAAATGGATTTCTCGACATGAATATACTCTATAAAAATAATTCAAATGCACTTCTGCAAAAGTTAAAATTCAGACGTCATTATCTCGAAAAGTATAGGTCGCAGAAAAAAATAGATTCAATAAATGGATTTCTCAACATGAATATACTCTAGAAAATAGGTCAAACGAGCATTTGCTCGTGGTGCAGATTTAAAGGCCATTTTCTCGAAAACTATTAATCACAGAAAAAAATGAGTTTTAGATTCGGCCTTTTCACGTAAAAATACATTTGAATTATTATTCTCATAAAATTCTAAATTTTAGGCGAAAATGGTCTTCGTCCTTTCCTAAATCACAATCGCACAGTGTGGTTCTCTGTCTGATTTCCATTGCAAAAGTTGTTAACTTTAAAATTGTTCATCAATACATACCTTCGCACTCTAATATGAAGTTAAGGATCACTTTTTTATCGGTAGACGCGAAATTGACTTTTTCAGTTAATGAACGAATACTCTCGATGGATTGAACCTCTTGAAAGTTCATGTAATCTCTTGTGATTTCCTCCGTCCAAGTGTAGACTTTTTTCTAGTCAAAGGTTAAGGTTCTAATGTTAATATTTTGAGAATAACGAGAACTGAAATGAAAACTTACCGATACATCATAATCATAGATGGAGATCTTGGTACTGACAAGAGTATAGCCATTAAATATGTCTTCATCTTGCTTAGACTACCATTTAGATCAAAATTGGATATTTTATCCGAAATAAGTAATGAATTAATCATTGGAAAGAATAAAAAAACTTTTGTCTGGACATTTTCACTTTTCTTTGTTTATGTTCGTAAAATTTGTGTTTTTCAATACAAATAACTTACCGATAGAGCAAAAAATTGAGTTATGACAGCTTTATCCACCTTCTTTCCATTGATTTCAAAATCATATTCAACTGCTTCCCATACTTGAACAGGTACTCCAGATCGATGTTTCTAAAAGAGATTCAATAAACAACAATTTTTCATTATTGCCATTTAAGTTATACAGTTTATATCACAATGTTGGTAAAAAACTACTAATATAACTACTTCCTACTAAACTACTTATATAATACAAGTGGAACCCCCGATCATGACTGATCGTAACTTTTTCACTGAAATACAATAAATTCAATCCATATTTAAAGACTCAAATTCTTGATGAAAAACCATCGTCAATGAGAAAAACTAAAAAATAAAATAAAATCTGGTTATACAGCTGAACAGAATAAAATCTTTTTGTACAGTTAAGGTAACATATTTTTCGCTTAACTCTTTACTCGAAAGACGGTTTTACTTATCCTTCTAATCCAAAAATAAACAATCAACCTGAATAATCAAAAAGTTTTTCCCCCAATGTACATAGTAAAAGATACGGATTCTGCGTTTTTACCCCTACCCTGTTTGAACACTAATTTCTCAGTAACCTGAATTCCGAGAAAGTTCGAACTATTTTTTGCGATTGTAGTTTAATCATGGCTTTCATTCTATGTGAAAATTTTCTTTAGAACCCGTTTAGTTTGGCCACAATCTTCCCGCAAAAATTTCATAGTTTGGCTTTATATATTGTATAGATGTATAGATATAGATTGTATTATTATTTGTATTTACCATAAAAACAAACTTGAATTCAATGTAAAAGTCACACGCTTCTCGTCATTTACTTACCAAGTTGAGCTTACCTACCAGCGAGCATGAAATAAGAATCCAAATTGAAGTAACCATTGTTTCCTGGTATATTCGAGTCTACGGCTGCTACAGTTACAGATCCATCCGTTCCAACATGAAAAGAAACTCCAAGTTTATAGTCGTAAATAACTTCACTTGCTGAACCAACCAATAATGATTTTATCCTCAAAAAACCGTAATACTCTGCAGCGTGAACCTAGCATGAATTGAATAACAAATGAAAATAAATACTGGGAATTCAACATTCATAAATTTTAGCTTCGAATGAAAGAACACTCAACGATAATAATTCAGTTTCATAGTTTATATACTGAACATTAATTAGACCCGATTTCGATTGCATGATTAAGTTTATGCAAACTTGAATTTATTTGAGTCTATTTAACTTTATGACTCGATTTTTTTCAATGTTAAAAGTCATAAATATTAGCAAATAAATGACCTTTCACAATACTTTTGCACTTATTTGACTAGATAAACTAACCTCACTAAGTGATCGAGATGTAGTTGCACCTTGAACTCGTTCCTCCAAGGTGAAGCGTAGGTGGTTAGCTCTCAACACTGGTGTGGGTTTATTTCCAGATAAGTAATGTGGACATCCGATTCCTGGTGGAGGCTAGTCAAAGGATAAACAATGTTTAGCATGAATTCGTGTTTTATTTTAGAAACGTATGAAAGGGAAAAGTATTTTAAAAAATCAGAAATATTCATTTCTATTATTTCTAATATATCAATATTTTTCCATCATAATAATATTTTAATAAAATCTTTTAATGTACTTACTTGAACCTCATTATGGACTTGTTTTAGAGAAACACCGTTTTTAAAGTAAGTATCTACATGTAGAATAGAATAGATATCCATATATAGAATGAGAATCTCTTCGTCTAAATTTGGAATAGATGATTGGTCGATTGGATCATGACCACTAAATTCAATTCTGCTTGGACTTTTTATTCCAGATTGGTAATCGAGATGACCTGAGTTTACAAAAAGAGTGGAAATTTTTTAAATCATAATCCACTTCAATCCAATTGTTTTATCTTACTTTTGTAATAGAAAGTAATTTTCAAATGTCCATTAATTTCTGTTGATGCTCCTTTCATCATGATTCCTCTGATGTTTTTATCTGCAACTGATTTCTATTAAAAAACAAATAAGATTAAATTACATTTGAAAAGCAAGAATCAATAAGAATATTTACCCAAACAAACGACGAATCAAGTCTGTACAATATCGAGGGTCCCATCAAGAGAATCAGGTTGAGTAAATTGTTCTTAATTCCGGGTAAAGTTTCATCCCAACTATTCTTGTAAGTGAACAGTAAACAATTTGTACCTTTGGAAAATGGAATGAACAAACGGGGAAAAAATATACTCAACTGAAACAGTAGACTCAAGAAAAAAGTATTCACTTCATTGGTTGCGGAAACCGATCTCATCATATAAATCTGTTTATATCTATTTTTATATTCCACCAGTGAAATCAAATAAACTTGAATCTTCTTACCATGAATAACCAATCGTTCCTTACTGTCCACACCAGAATAAGCAGCAGCTTTATAATGTACTGAGTAGGAATCTTCATCACTTGAGATTGCAATTTTACCTTTGGTGTCTGTATCAGAATTTGATACCAACTCTTGTATAAAATACTTTTTCAATCCATTCTGAGAGATGAAATTAAACGTTAGATTGATTAACAATTAATTGATTGTCAAACTTACGACATCAGTTAAAGTAGCATTAATCACTAGACCTCCTTTAGGTACTTTCAATGGCAAGTCCACCAAATTGTTGGTATTGACTGTTTTAATTAATAAGAAGATTAGATTAAGACAATCGAGTTTCGATTTCAATTCTTACTTGTTGACATTGTTGTAAACAATGAAAAAACAATTAAAAGTTTGAGCAGCATTGTAATGGAGATGTAATGCAAGAAATAAACAGAAACACAGTTAACCGTAACAATTTGTTTTCAATTACTGTTGATGAAATGAAAATGAACTAAATATTCATCAAATAGCCTTTTATACTAGTCAACAATATTGTAAACAAAGTTTATGCAAAGTAGAGACGCCTAAATAAATAAATTGTTATTTTTGTGATTGCGATTAGAATTAATCTAAAACTTCCAAAATTGTAAATTAACTCAGTGATAATTAGAGATATCAAAATTCTGTTTATGATCTATGAACTTGTAAACAAAATTATGAAACTGAAAATATTGTATCTAATTAGTCATTACTTGGTCAAATGAAATATGAAATTGATAGAACCTCTAAACAAACAGATTAGATATTATTTTATCATCACCAGAACCTTTTTGGGAATTTAGGTTAATAATAACAGAGCAAAGGTTTTCGTCAGTCTTTATGGATGGAACCATGCATTCGTCACATTTTTGGCCAAATTTATTTTATTAGGACTCAAATCAGTGATTTGTGAACTATGTTACTGTTATAAAGTGTTCAGCTCGCTGCCTAAATCTTGGTTCAATAGAGAACCTTCGTGGATGGCTTCGAAAATTTTATACTGATGGCCATTATTATCGAAAGTTTGAAACGTCAATTGTCGAAAACGGTCCCGAATTCCAGACCAGGAGCACAAATTTCTTTCAAACACTAGTAGACTGTATTGAAAAAGTTAAACGTTACCAAACAAACTTTTGATTTTACATTTAAGAATAATTAAGCCAATTTCTGACTTTTTCCAATCATTAGGTCAACTGATTTTCGTAAAGCTTTGCATTTTTGCATCGATTTTTTGACAAGAAATATCTACAACTTGTATCTCATGGGTTTAATTTACAATTTTGGAAGTTTTAGATTAATTTAATCGCAAGTACAAAAATAACAATTCGATCTCGTAACTTTTTCCATTCACATGACGTTTAAAAGTAGGTAACGATATGTTTTTGTCCAATTAAGGTGATAGGTGTAGCATATGTCAAATAAGTAATATGGGTCTTGCACGGGACCAGCCATGAAGCTGAAGCTCAAATAGATCATATTGATTGTACGAATAGGTATTTCGTGGAAACTGATCAATACTGATAACGCTATGAATTTCTCCGAAGTGATGAATAAATAAATGAGTAATAACAAAACATATCATGCATAAGCCATAAAATGTTCTATTTTTATATTTTTGATGAAAGGGGTCCTACTTGAATCACACTGCTTTTTATCCTCCACAGATCACACCTTTAATATGCTCTTCTCTGAATCAGATACGCCTTTAACCGTCACTACTGCAAATTGATTAATGAACTTCGAACGGTTAAATAGAATCATCAAAATTGCTCTATTCACTCGAAAAATATTTTGCATTTCAATGAGTTGACTCATAATTTAAGTACTGACAAATGCAGGTAATCAACTTTTTCCAACCTAGGCTGGTTTAATCAGCCTTTCCAAAATGGAAAAGGCTTGGAAAAGCTTGATTCAAATAACACTCAGTGGTGAATTCAATTATGGGAACATTATAAACACGCGGCCAATCAATACGTGGCTCTAAGATGGCAGAAATTCCATCAGCTTGATTCAACTGAGGCATTTGAGGATAGTTATATTCATCGATATTGCAATCTGGCTCTTCAGCAATGATTGCATCAGTTTCATGCTCATGAAGAGAACCGAAATTGGCAAAATCTAAATCACCATCTAAAGGAAGGCTATTCAGAATATCAGAGTCTATTTCAATGTCTTGATAATAAAGATGATTCGATTTTAGCCATTTTAAAGCACTTCGTACAACACTGGAACGAACACGTAAATATGATAGACCACTTGGTATTGTACGAGTAATGATAACGATACTTTGTAGTGAAATGGGATTAACTGGTAGTTTTGAATGTAACTGTACAACATCTTGACGGAAATGAATAGCGTGGCCAGAATACGCATATTGTTAACCACGTATTCTATATAAACAAAACTGGGTGTATTTTAGCTATAAGCATTTCTTCAATAGGTGTTAAATCTTGAAGAATCTCAGGAACTTCTCCTGGAACACTAAATTGTCGTCATTAAAGAGACCTGCAGAGGTTACATTTTTACAAAAGCTACAGGAACCTGCGAGTAAATACAGATCTGGTAACTCTTGTTCACACAAATTACATTTTTTCCATTGTATATTTTCTAAAGTTTTGTCAAAGTTTTTGGCAATGTCAACCCAAATAGAAGGATATATCTCTACTGCAGGTACATATAGTGGATCTGGTACTCTTGGTAAACTGAAAGACTCATTCAAATCATCTTCATGAAAAGATGTATTTTTTTCTATAATCAACCGAAAATTTGCACCTTCTCTAACTGCATCTACTTGATGTAATTCTTCATTTGAAAATGATTCGCGAAAAACTGGTCTCGGTTCAGCAGTGGGTTGTTCAATAATCGTATCATCAGATGATGTATCTTGCACAAGTTGCCGAAGAAAATCTGTAGGACAAGTCTGTATTGGAACTCTAACATTAGATGGTCCTGCTCCTTGACTAAATCGCATTGTTGGAAGATTAGGTTCATCTATTACAGACGATGCAGAAGAAGTTTCCTGTTGTGACAAAAAATTTTCAACCCTAATTCTATTGAGACTCAAAAGTCTCTTGGCTTTCGTTGATATTTTTTCAAGTCTCATTACTGTTTATGATTTCTATGTACCTGCGTGGTCTGAATGATATGAAAAACTTATATGAAACACAAGAGTTAAAGACAGGACTAAAATAAAGTAATCTCTGTGTTGTCAGGTTTATATACGATTAATTTGTTCAAAAAAATGAGTAAAACACTTAGCAAAGGATGTTTGGGGCTGAAAGGCGATTTCCGATATTTTGCCACGCCACTTCAACCTTTGCCCTGAAATTGAAAAAAAATTTTTTGAACATGCGCGCTCCCTTACTCTACAATAATAAAAAGTTTGAAGACTGTTCATACATTAGTTGTTGAGATATCGAGAAAACAAAATCGAAATTGTGTGAAAAAGTGCACATGTAGGCTTCGCTACGCTCAGACTAATTAATACAAAAGCATAAATAGAAACTTTGTCAAGCTGCATAGAAATGAATAGTTATGATTATAAATGATGTTAAATTTTCTAATAGTTATCAAATATTCAGATTTGACCAAATTGGTTTCTACTCATATTTTTTAGGATTTCCTTACATGAAATATTGACAATACTAACCTTGGCATCCTATGATGTGAACAACACAAAAATTGATGAACGACGCATGTTTTTTCGTTCTCTTGCTGACCCATTGTAGAGCAATAATCAATCACAAATCGATATCAAAAAAAGTGGAGCATTTCTTGCCTGGAAGTCGTACAAACAACTTTAATTCATTTTTTTATCATTGATTTTGGATCGTCAGCACGTATAAAACCTCATTTACTTCACGTTTTATTCAATATCTCAAGAACAATACAGGCTAGGTTTCTTACAGTGATTTTAAAAAGAAAGCGAATGTACAAGAAAAAGGAACCCGAGTTGAAAAAATAGTGTCTGGCCAAGAATTCGTCAGATCATTGAGATCACAATCATTTTTAGTAAAAACTTGACATGAGAATGAATTCAATGTTATAAAAGGGAATTTCTCTCATATATGTAAGGTTTATTGCAAATGTATTGGTCTACTTCGAATCAAGTAAGAAATGTCGGTTACAGATTGTTATTTTAGATATTTTAAGGGTTACACTGGGAATACTTCACAGTCGATTGGCTGAGTTCTGATGAATGACTGGGATTATCGAGTGAAAACATAAATTTAATGATGCATGGTGAAGATGGGGATGGGACCAATACAATTGACTGACACCAAAATTAACTTAAAACCAAATTTAATCCAGTCTTAAAGACCACAGGATTTGCTAACTACAATGATTGAGCCATCCCTTCCAACTAACTTACTCTGCCCTTTTCTAGCTCCTCTTTTCCTACTCTAAAGTATCCTTAATGTAGCCATCTTGTTGACGGTAAAACTTCAACCCATTGTTACTAAGGAAAAGAAGACAGTGGATTAAGACAGGGAAATGAAAGAATATCCCACCATTAAGGAGTAAATTTTTTATCGATTTTTGCTTTCTTTCATTATAGTTGCTCAGTTGAGGTTCTTTGAATTAGATTTGAATAGATTTGTTGGCTATCGGCATACCACACCATCGGCATTTATAAGGACAAGATTCAACCGGCTCTAAATGGTCAAGATCCTCTAAGTAGAGATTGGATATGGATAAAATGTCTGTCATATCATAATGACATATTGTGGTTCATGATATGTGATTACTCTATCATATAACCAATCAAAGAACTCCAGTCTTTGATGCAGTCAACTAATAATTGATAGCAATGACCAACTTGGACTTCCTGTCGCATTAGGTTTTTATTTGAATCCAGCTTTGAATGGCTACATTGTGAAGCTCTAAATATTACTTACACGATACTAAAAAATAATAACTTATGCTTGGATTAATCGAGATCATAGTTTTATTTTATTCATTGTAGTCCTGTTCGCATAATCGCACTTTTGGTTAGAGGTGCTGCTGATAGTATTGTAGAAACACAAAGATACTTGCCGATTACGAACGCCATTCGCTTTGGCGTTGTGCTACTGTGCAGCGCTGGCGAGGGCTGTATATGCATAAGATTTAAAAGCTTAAGACGAATGAAGAACTCGCCAATTCAACAGTATATATTCCAAGAAGCACGACTATAAATCCAAAGCAAAATCCAATTTGAGAGCAATACGACCACAAGGTTGATATGAAAACAATTCCTGATTCGCTAGATGTAACTGCTGAATCGACCAAGCTGATGACATTCAATGCAACGAGGACACTGAATATTCCTGTCAACCACGATTTTAAAGTACTGCTTATTGAATAACCCGAACCTTATTGTCAATTCAGGTTTTGATTAAGACACGTCAATCAAACTAGAACCTGCTTTGATCAAGACTGAACTTCAACTTCTTTTCAATCACTAT